TTACTGTATTACAGATAAAACCCTATTTCTGTATTACAGATATAACTGTATGCTACTGTATTACAGATAGAACCGTATTACTGTATTAAAGATAGAACTGTATATTACTGTATTACAGATAGAACCGTAATACTTTATTACAGATAGAACCATATTACTGTATTACAGATAGAACTGTATTACTGTATTACAGATAGAACCATATTACAGAAGAATCGTTTATTACTGTATTACAGATAGAACCGTATATTACAAAATTAAATTTTGAATGCGAAGCTAAGGTTGAGGCTATGTGTTTCTGAATATATACTTGATGTATTTATCTATTTATCTATTTATGAACATAGATAAATAAAGTAAATATATAAGGTTAGGATAGCTAGCTAGGAGCTAGGTGTTAAGCTAGATGTTTATATAGGCTCAGGAAGGGATTGAAAACGTAAAATCAGATGACTCTCATTTAAACCACATTAACGATTCACAATGGTACCATTGAAGACTCCTCCTGATAATTTTCTAATAAAGTGAATTGCGAATTTCCGCGTCAGAAACATTGAGGAAGTTATTAGAATTAAACACGACGAATGGTGATATCTTCAACATTGTTGATCACAGATTCGGGTTTTTCTTTAATAAAGTTGAAGGCCCACTTAAATTACAAGGACAGTCTTTTTAAGTTGGAATATATCTCACGAAACGCCCCCTTTTTTATATTACTTCCACCAACCTCATAAATACTATTATTCAGTTCTCCCGTAATTCCAATTTAGCTTATTTCCTTTTTTAAATTGTCATATTTCAAACAAATTCTAATTTTAAATTCCTCTTAAATACCCCCCCTCCCATTCTTTTCTGCTTCACCATGTCCCCCCTCTCCCTTAGTCTTCGCATATGTTTTTAATTTCTAATTTGCTTGACCTATGCATATATATATAAATATATATATACACGCAGTTTAGAACGACCACAGCCGACGGGCTGGCGTGGGAAAATATTCTTAAATATTTTTTGCAGTTAAAAATTGACTTATTTCTGAAATATTGGTTTTCTTATTATGTTTGACCAGTAATTTTAGGTTCAATAAAAGTTAGATTTTTAGATACGTTTTCGATTATTTTTCTGATTTTCATTTGGAGACATGTTTTCAACATCGTTGCCCAGTTTTTGAACATATGAGCTAATTTTTAAATTTACAAGAGAACCCATTTTAGTGAGAAATGGTTATATATATATATTATGAAGCTGATTAAGATGTTATCATCTGTTAAACTAAGACAAAAATCGATATGTTCAACATAATAAGCTGTCCTCACTTTACCAGTAAATCTGACACCTTGGATCTTATCAGAGCTCGGGGAAAATATTTTTTACAATTTTTCAAAACAATTTTTTTGTTGAAATAGAAATGATGACATTTTTTGGTGATATTAAAAATTTAAATGTTTTCTACATTTTCCCCTGTTTTATCTAGGTCTGATCGAATCAAATTACAATCTACATATATCTCGATCCTTCAACGAGATTATCCAATTCTACATATGTACATATAATGATATGCAAGGAATTCACGACAAACATCGCCACCCTTTTCTGAACATTTATATTGGATTTAGTGGATTTATATAGAACATCAAACTCTAACAAAGATATAATTTTTTATGTTTATTTTCAGATAAAAAGTTTTATCTTAAAGCTTTAGTAGATGTTTTAGTAATATCATGAAGAGAGTCGATTATTCGAGAAGTTTCGTAGATTTATGGCAAAGTTAGAATAACGAGATTTTGTAAATTGTATACTGAGGTTTCCTGTATACTAGAGAGGTTTCCTGTATACTAGAGAGGTTTTTTGTATACTAGAGAGGTTTTCTGTATACTAGAGAGGTTTCCTGTATCCTAGAGAGGTTTCCTGTATCCTAGAGAGGTTTTTTGTATACTAGAGAGGTTTCCTGTATACTAGAGAGAATTCCTGTATACTAGAGAGGTTTCCTATTTACTAGAGAGGTTTCCTGTATACTAGAGAGGTTTCCTGTATACTGGAGAGAATTACTGTATACTAGAGAGGTTTCCTGTATACAAGAGAGATTTTCTGTATACTAGAGAGGTTTCCTGTATACCATAGAGGTTTCCTGTGTACTAGAGAGGTTTCCTGTACACTAGAGAGGTTTTCTGTACACTAGAGAGGTGTCCTGTATAATAGAGAGGTTTCCTGTATACTACAGAGGTTTCCTGTATACTAGAGAGGTTTCCTTTATACTAGAGAGGTTTCCCGTGTATTAGAGAGGTTTTCTGTATACTAGAGAGGTTTCCTGTATACTAGAGAGGTTTCCTGAATAATAGAGAGGTTTTCTGTATACTAGAGAGGTTTCCTGTATACTATAGAGGTTTCCTATTTACTAGAGAGGCTTCCTGTATACCAGAGAGGTTTCCTGTATACTAGGTGGTTTCTTGCATAGTAGAGAGGTTTTGTGTATACAAGAGAGGTTTCCTGTATACTAGAGAGGTTTCCTGTATACAAGAAAGGTTGCTTGAATACTACTAGAGAGGTTTCGTGAACATATACTTAAGAGGTTTCGTGATTATGTAAAGAGGGATTAGAAACAGACACTTTGTATAGAACTAGAGAGTTCCTGGGCAGATGTATTCAACGACCCATGAATATTGGACTCTTAACTTTACATGAGCATATTGAGAAGAAGTAAAAATTATCAGGGTTATTTTTAACCCCCCCCCCCTCCTCCTACTTTCCCATATTTCGGTATTTGTCAAATACAAATAATTTTATATTTTTTTAATTTTCAATTTTATGAGTTTTTTTTAAGTTTCCTTGTTCATCTTGAGATTAGAATGAGTTTAGTCAGTGACCCAGCATATTGTTATATCAACTATTTATCCTCTTTATGTACTCTACTTTAGATTAGTGGAGTTTGATGTTAGGGGACAGGACAGGACAGGACAGGACAGGACAGGACAGGATAGGACAGGACAGGACAGGACAGGATAGGACAGGATAGGACAGGACAGAGGGACAAAATGTTTTCTTAAAGGGACTGTTGACGGAATGTCCGAGTCAATACGGAACCATATTCTTTAGTAATAATAAGGGGACATCGTTGTTGTTCAATCTTGTGAAGTGCTGACAATTTCGTTCATTGCCTCTGCAGCATAAATCCTAAAGCAATTTTCACAAAAAAACCTTAATTGAAATTAATCAATTCGTAGCTAAATAAATACGTATATTTCATTCAATATTTTTTAGAAAAAAAGTTTAAGGGTAATGTTATGAGTCAATCTTGCCACTTTACGCCTACTTTCTCTACCCCTTAGGAAGTTTGAACTTGAACGTTTCTTTAAACCATCTCTAAGTGCTCAAAGTTTCATTCAAAAGTTGTTAACCTGGATTTTTCAAAAGTAAGGATATTTAAAATCTGAATGCACTGCCATTTTTATCATAGAATTGAAATTTAATCAAAGAGTCATCGTTAAACGAAATATAAAAACTTCATTAAAAGAAGAGAAAAAATGGATTGTGTCAATCAAAATATCATCCTACTATGGTTTAAAAATGATACATTTTTATATTTGGAATTATTGAGATTAATAAAAATTTCCCCTGCAATAGATCTGATTGAATAATAATCACCGTGTTGAAGTTTATTAACTATAGTATTTAAATCATGATATGTTTCGTAACAATAAATACTAACAAAATTAATGATCTTTCGCAATAACAGGGTTGTATCAATAAAAAGAAATGGCAAGAGGCAGAAAAAGCAATTTTCTAATGATATGGTAATATAGGAATAAAATGGAAAATTGTCGATAAACATTTGTAAAATTTTCATCAGGGAAGTTTACAACTTAAAATTAAAACTTATTTCAACTAATAAAGGGGTTAATATTCATATTTTAATTAATTTACAGGGTTACCCACAAAGAATTAATAAGACTTCAGAGACGACTGTACGAACATTATACTGTCTGTTTTCTCATATTCATGAGTTGTGTCATTCGTTGCCAAATAATTTCATGACTTTATTTCACTTTGGGATCGGTCTAAAGTCGTCTTCACAGTATCATCCTTTGTGGCCAACAATTTAAACTATTATTGAAGGTAAATCGTGTACATAAAGGGTCTTTCTGATAAATAACAAATAAAATTGACAAATGAAGTTTGGACAAAATTGATGGATAACAAATTTTGTTGGATATTATATTCCTATTAAAGGTATTGATTTGCTTTCTATTTCATAAGATCTTAAATGGACTGTAAATGAAAAATGAAAGGGGGTATAGGATGAAACCTGAGAATCTCAGGCGTTGAACAATACATAAAACACATCTTTCTAATATTTTGTTCGGATTATCGAAGTACCGAAAACATTTCTAAATTACGAACATTTTGTTATAATCTAATAACACATTTTTAACTGGACGTATCTTTTGCAGTGTTCAGAAATATTATTAAAATTTGTTATAAATACATGAAAAATGTTCACATATTCTAATAAAATGTTCACATATTCTAATAAAATGTGTGTAATCTTGAAATGGTTTCGGCAAATCTATATTTCTTCTAACAGCGTACAGACCCATAAAAATGTAGAATAAGATGACGACTAACATTCTTATATATAATGTTAGATTATAGTCTCATAAACATGAAACTCAGCAATGTGTAGTTAACATAAAACACATTTTTCTTAATAAGTTAAAATTCATGCTGCTAATAACTGCTTTTTCTAAATATATAAAACAGTAATTTATGTTTGTCTGTTTGTAAGTCCGATCATAACTCAAGAACCCCTTGACCGATTTGCCTCAAATTATAATTGCGGAACTCGGGGGAACCACGGGAATGTTCTTTGCTTAGTTCTAAAATTCTAAGGTTGATTGGGTTGACTTTTAGAGGGGAAATTCAATCAAAGCCAGGTTCCCAAGCAAGCATAAAGTACAAATAATCATGTTTAAATGTCGTCTTCATATTCCAAAATGTTATGGATCCTTTGTACTGTATATTTGAGCAAACTACTGTCCAGCAATCATTTCTAAGGATTGAAGATACACGACCATACAGAATCCAACAGCACCCATTAACCCATTCTGAATCCAAGCTGCACAAATAAATATTAAATCTACGAATTTTTAGTTATTAATATTAACATCAACAGGTAAACTGATCAATGTTATCCCTGAGGAAATCAATATTAAATCTACTAATATTTAGTTATTAATATTAACATCAACAAGTAAACTGATCAATGTTATCCCTGAGGAAATAAATATTAAATCTATTAATATTTAGTTATTGATATTAATATCAACAAGTAAACTGATCAATGTTATCCCTGAGGAAATAAATATTAAATCTACTAATATTTAGTTATTAATATTAACATCAACAAGTAAACTGATCAAAGTTATCCCTGAGCTGAAAACTTTAGAATGAGATATCCTTAATCCCGATTACTTAATCTGAGTATCCAATGGACACACTTTTGATTTTCTTCTTAAACCGCTCTTTCTTGGATATAGCAGAGAAAAATGAAAACCGGTTTTTTAGAATAAGAGAATCCCTCCCGTTTCTGTATATAATCTTAAATGGAGCGCAAAATTTCAAATTTATCGGCTTCATATACCCGACTCCATGATTGGATGGATTCTATACACTTTTCAGGATACAAGTACAAGAGCTGAAAACTTTAGAATGGAAGTCATCCACTTAATGGCTTAAACCACTCTTTTTCTTAATATCCAGTTTAAATATTGCTTGTTCTCCACATGAATTTAAACTCCAGAGAAGCTAATCCATCGGATATCTGGATATTTCATTCTAAAGTTTTCAGCTCTGATTGGTTTAGTCTCGATATTATGAAAAAGAGAGGATCAAGCATTAATCTCGATATCCACCATTCTAAAGTATTCAGCTCTGAGGAAATATGTTAATCCGCTGCTGCCAGAATAATATGGAGATCGATAGTTCCCAACAGAGAAGTTCTGACTTGCGAGTCCGAATTTAATGAATTTGAGCTGTGTCTCAAATCCTCAAAATCCGGTTTCAATTGAGCGCCGGTTTAAATCTTGAAACATTGAATACAATTTTAAGTGGAACCAACCATATTTGAGCCGCGGCTCAAATTCTTGAAATTCGGCTTCTGAGCTGTGAATTTTTGTAATGGATGATACCCTACTATATTTTTAAGTCTAGAACTTCAGCTAGCTGCTTTATGCCGCGGCTTGAATTTAAACCGCCGCTCAAATTCTTTAAATTCGGCTACTGGACTCAGCTGTATATTCAATTCAAAAATGTCTAGCTCTGATGTCGCAGTATTTAACACTTGAAGCAATGAATACTTTCAGATCCGGTTTTATAACTATAGGGATTAAACAAACCATAGTTTGAGGCGAGAAATCAGTTTTTTAAAACTTTTTCCTTAAATGCCAATGATATAATACCTTTTGCTTCTCTAATTTGTTGTTTTTGAAGTTCCATATTTCTGAGAACTTCCTCTTTTTTCTTTAGAACTTCCAGGCTTGGAGTATCATTTATCTGTATGAAAACCCCATTAGTTTTGAATTTATAAACTTACCTCTATTTTACCTAAAATTATTTGTACCTTCTCGTTAAATAATGATGTCCTGATCTATGAATATATTCATTAATTCACCTTTAACCAGATCCATATTATCGGACCATTGTCAACTCTCTAGTTTGTTTATATTTTTAAAAGTACAACATGTTTGTTTCTAACAATAGTTTAAAAGGAGTAATTGGCAAAATGCTGATGGATTATGCGTGAGAGAATAAGCACTTTAGATTACTGTGTTATTTCACACTCCACCGATACAAGGAGAATGTCAGATTTCTACGATATTACTGATACGACTTGTTGATCTCGTACCTCCTCTAGTTCTTATGTTACGCAAAAGTATAAAAAAATAAAATGCAGCTTGGCAGAATTTCAATTTTTTTGTTCTTCTCTTTATTTCTACAATAAGAGGAGTTATTATTGATAGTATTGAAGATTTTAATCTAACTGGATGGAATACTCAAATTTTCAAATCCCTATATTTATACAACCAGATGGTTTAAACCTTTGATATTCTAAACTTAAACTAGTGTATGTGACCTAAAAAAACTCTTGGTTGGAAAAATCTAAGGTCTACGACATCAGGTTGCAAAGATGTGGGGATTAGAAAATAACCCTTACTTGATGTTAGTTTACCTGTGGTCTCTCTGCTTTAGCTCCTTTGACCAGCATTGATTGAGTTCTGCCAACACTGGGACAATCTCTCTCTCTAAAATTGATTTCAATTTGAAAAAGAAAAAGTGATTGTATTTCTATTGGCAATTTTATGAATGAAAGATTTCCCTTTAGAATTTAGTGTTAACATCATTTTTTACTTTTTTGCCACCAAGAGCCATCTAGGTAGTTTTGAAAAACAAGATTTTCTAAAAAAATAATTTTTAAAAAATGATGTTTGACCTGTCGGAGTACAGAAGTTCTCCATCCTCTTGATCAAAGAGATGCTGTTCCAGGTCAGGTAGTGCTTCACTGTAATCACTCATTCGACTGTCACTCCGCAGTTCTGAGGCTTGTCTGAAGAAACAACAATTCCGCTGGAAAGTTTGGAAGAATTTTCACTTTTCACGTTGTCTATATAAGTATTGAAATGGTCAATATTCCAAATGGTATTAACGACATGCAAATTAAGTTAATTTGTTTTAAAAATTATTCCACTTAACTGCTTGCATTTATTATTCATTATTGTTGTGCAGTGGTTCCTGATAATCTTATTAAAAATCTAAAAATTTAGAAAAATAGCAAAAAATGAATGCACATAATTCTTGAAAATAAGGAATTCAATTTCATGTTGTGAACTTTTTTTTGTATGAAGTATTTTCGTATTCAATAAAAACTTGTTACGATGAATGTGTTGATTAGCAATTACAAAAAAATCCTATTAGAATTATATTTTGACTGTATGGACGAAACTCTTTCGATCTGCAGCTAGCTATAGTATACAATTTTTTTAATAATTTTTTCGCGGATTTACCTTGAAGATTTTCTTGTTCCATATCTACTTGTATTTGGCCTCAAAGTCTTGTCAATTTCAAAATTTAACTAAAAATCATAAAAATAAAATAAATATAAATTATCTTAAAATATCTATATATTTAAAGCAGTGGTCAGCGTTTATATCAATACAATGAAGACGACTTTTCTATTAAGTTTTAATGGCTAACAAGCTTTTTTCAAATTACAAGTTTACAAGTAAAAGAAGAGAAACTGTTAATTGACAGCTTCTCTTTGTATTGATATGTACGACGACGATATTCAATATTTGCCTTCTGTGATGTTCTATCTCCACTAGTATCTCTGGAACGAGCAATAATTCCTGAACATTTCAGACTTTATAACTTTTCATTACTTTTTAAATGTTTTTGGAAAATGCTAGATACTAACCAAAAAAAAAACGATATCATGCTTTTAGTGGCTCACTGTAAATTAAAATATAGTTAAAATCGTTAAAAATGTGCATTTAACATTCCATAAGACAGAAGATAAGATTGGACACCACCCATAGATGAACTAACAATAACAGATAGAACACTAAATGCCGTCTGTTCAAGATTTAGGGGTTTTTCGTTCACAATAACCCAAAGGCAGAAGCACAAATGAGTTACGCGCATGCTTTTAACATGCTTTCTCAAGGTTCTTGTGAACGATAAACCCCTACATCTTGAAAAGACGACATCTAGTGTTCTATCTGTTATTGTTAAATAATGTATGGTAACACCATACAATTTACCTGATCCATATTTTTCTTTCCGTTCATTGCTGGCATCTCTTGACACTACAGTACTCTCACGTTTTCTTAAAGTTCCAAACTCAGCTCGACCCAGGTGATGACTGTATTTACTGTAGTTCACAGGACCATCTTGATCTTAAGAAAGTTAAAGTTTTTATTTATCAGACTTAATTACTTTCATTTTATTTAAAAAGAACCAGTCCTGATAAAAACTGTACCCATTAAAAATTTTTTTGATCAATTATGTGGAGGACATTGTAGTTTTCTTGAAAATTTCTTAATTCTAACAATTTCCTCCGTTATGTCTGTGGCATGAATCTGCACGTCACTTTATGGGGAAACCAAGATTGAAAATAATCACTTTTGATCAGACAAAGTGTTCTTGGTGAAGTTAGGAACTTTCCCAAAGGATTTTTCCCAAATGTCAACTCCTAGCCGCAGCGCTTGGCCCCAATTGCAGCCTGCGGCGCCTCAGAGGGCCTAACCTAATCTTTTGGAAGTTGCCGCTTCAGAAATTGTCACTTGGGAAGTCGTCTTCAAGAATTATTTAGAGTTTATTAATAACCTTCAAGAGGTATTGAGAGTTTACTAATTACTTTCAATAGGTATTGAGCGTTTACTATTTACCTTCAAGAGGTATTGAGAGTTTACTATTTACCTTCAAGAGGTATTAAGAATTTACTAACTATCTTCGAGAGGTATTGAGAGTTTACTAATTACTTTCAAGAGGTATTAAGAATTTACTAACTATCTTCGAGAGGTATTGAGAGTTTACTATTTACCTTCAAGAGGTATTGAGAGTTGTTTTAATCCAGATCTGAGTTTTTCATAAAACTCTTCATTTGCCATCAGTTTGTCAGGCATCAGCTGGTTCGGTATACCCTAATATTTAAATAAATATTGAGCCCCTTAAAGGGACTGTAAAAATTAAAGGAAAAATTAAAGGAGGTATGTGCTAAAAGCTAATCACTCTAGCTCTAGATCGCGACCCTATGAGAGCTCTATCTGATGTTCCTGACTCGAGAAACTGATATAAAACTGTGTCAAATAAATTCGAAAATTCATTTATATACAATTTGTATAGAAATAGTAGGTTTAAACAGATCATATTCAGCAAATATGCAACCAATTTGATAACGATGATATCCCAGAGAAACCTAATTGTAATTAAGGTTTTCTCCAATTATTATTTTATAATTTTTATTTTTATTTTTAATAGATATAATTGATAATATTATTTTTAAGTCTGTATTACGTCACCAGAACTACCGCCAATGAGAGTGCAGTATACTGATATGTGATATTAACTATTTTCAATTCAAACTAAGTTAAAGTGTACTTTGTCTTTTTGTTCATTCTCAAGGTTTAAAAAAAAACGAAGTTTTCCCAGCCCTAGTTGTAAACTTGTCAGATTGTGGTTGATATTACCTTGTCTCCAGGTTCATCTTGTGTTGGTATAGATGAGGAGAACTAAAAAATATATTTCTAAATTTCAATTTTCATTGTTTTATAATAAAGTTTTTACTATTTTTTTTAAAAGAATAATGTGCTGCCATATATTTAATGCTTGTTTAAACTTTGTTGGAATAAACTTGAAACACAAATAAGACGTTGTGGATCAAAACTAAATTTAGATTTAGTTCAAATTGACATAATATTGGCATTTGTTGTTTATTTTAGAAAATTTTAAATTTTTCTTCCTTTTGTGATGTGTTAGTTTGTTGTTGTTTTTGCTGTTCTTGCTGTTGTTGTTGGTGTTGTTGTTGTTGCTGCTGTTGTTGCTGTTGTTGATGGTTCTGTTGAGACACAACTGGAGATTGTCTTTGTTCCATCTGAAAATAAAAACTTAATTTGATATGAATAAAACTATGAGCCAAACTTGTTCAAAAAGAAGAACGCATCCACAAATTGTTTGATTTAAAAAAAAATTCAGACTAAACATTTAAATAATAAAAATAAATTTAAGTTTTATCTAATTCACTGTTGAAAATGTTTCCATTTTTGAATATAACAACTTCTGCAAAATCAGAATGCTGTTCACAGATTTTTTTGATTACCTGTTTTGTGCCTGATGCTTCAATAGGAATGTTTAAACTGTCAGTCGCAGGCCAAATAGTGGTTGAATACCTTTCCTCAACATTCTTGTAGTTCTTCGCAACAAAATCTTCAATATTCTTTAATAATAGTTGAGAACTTGGACTGGGAGGTATTTGCACACCAGTGAATAGATCTCGTTTGGGTACAGGAGACAGCTTAATATCTTCGGGCTTTGAATACTCACGACTAACTTTTCGTTTAGGATTAGTTAGAACTTCAGTTGTTACTGGTGGGATGCTGTCTTTAGAAGACTTCTTTCTTCTATCTCTCCCTCTTTCCAATTTTAATGGTTCGGATATATCCGTTACTTCTATGCTTTGTCTTGGAGTGTGTGCTTGGTCATCAAGGTAGGACAAAACTTTCTCAGCATACCCAATGCCTTCGCTCTTCTGAGTCTTAATAAAAGCCTCATCGTGACTGTACACCTCAAAGGGAGTAAATCTTGCTCCTTTCTCATCATACCTTGAATCCCCGGCTAGGCCATAGTTTGCAGCATCATTACCAGGAGGATTTGTTAGAACATTAGAGGGTTTCATGAAATCATCAATAGCAGCCTGATCACTCCTGGCCATACCTCGAGCAAATAGTTCATCAAAGTCAGCTGTGTTCACACGTGCTGGCTTCTTCTTTTTCTTCAGCCCCAACCTGTGGGCAAAAGAACTGTCTGACCTCGCATCATCTTCATCATCTCTGCTTCCCATGCTTGATGTTCTCATTATGCTGTTATCCTCATTATCAAGATCTGAACCCAGATCTTGAGATTCCCTGTCAGCAGATGATGTTCTTGATCCTGTTTTGGATCCTGAGCGAGAACTTTTTCTTCCTCTTCTGAAATTAAGAATATCATTTGATTTTTTAAGTAAGATAAAACTTTTTCTGTCTGATTTTATTCTAAAAGATGTATTACATTTCAAAAAAGTTTTAATTACCTCAGAAGGCTTCCAAAAACTGAAGATGACTGATTCTTCTTATTCACATCTGGGGATCTGTTTCCAAGTAATCCTCCTGTCATTGCAGCAATAAAGGCTTTTGGTGAATTTATTTCATGTTGAAAGCTTGGTGAAGGTTCTTTGGATTCTAGTTTCATCAATGGAGGAGCAAGAAAATCATTATTGTTAACATTTTCAAATGTGGTAGAAGAAGAATTTTTTGAAGGCTTTTGAGCCAATGAAAACAGTTTTGTAAATGCATTTGTTTTCATGTCTGAGTCCCTCTGAATTTCAAAAGTTTCATCTGCCTCCGCAAATGATATTTTCTTAACTCTTTTCAATTTTTCTCTAGCTGAAAGGTCCAGATTATAATTCTCATCCTCGCCGGGCTCTAAATTAGTCCATTCAGAATGGTCGACTTCACTTAGTTCTCTTTCTTTGTTTATAACAAACCCATCATCAGTCAATATTTGGCTGAGTCTTTTTGATTTGGGAATGATTTTAGCATAGATTTCCTCTTGTGTAACACTCGCCTTAAATTCAGCTGCAACAGAAGAGAAGTCTGTTTGATCAGCTTGCTCTACATGATTTTTCCAGTCCACGTTGTAGCTCTCTTGAGTTTCATATTGCATAATATTTTTCTGAGTTTCATATTTATCAATATTAATGTGGTCCGTCTCAACCATCTCCTCGTCTAGTTCCATTTCCATTTCTGCAAGTCTGCGCTCAAACTCATCTAATGATGTTGCTCCAGTGGAGACTGGTTCAGAGCCTTCTTGATTAAAATCAAAGCGTCTTCCACCTGAAGAACTTCTAGATCGGTTTCCAGTCACAAATCCTTCAATGGGTTCCAATTCTGGAACATTAGATCCTGATCTAGACTTGACAACACTTTTAGGGTATTTATCGTCAGAATTTCTTCTATTGCCCAGTTTACCCATTTTTGGCAAGGAAGCAGTCTTGTGTTCAATCACGTCCCGGAAGTCTGAAGTATACTGGGATTCTTGACCATCATTAGAATCAATTATCAACATTAGTTCATCTTCATTGCCAAACTCACTTTCATTTGGTGAAAAGTAGTCTGCCGGTTCAGCTGGGGAGAAATCATTGGCAGAACTTTTCTGTCCCAGTCTGTCTCTTGAAGAATCTCTTGATCTAGATTTTCTTCCAGATAATCCAGCATCAAGAGAGGTGTTTGCTATTGCTGCAAATATTTGTTTTGCTGCTTCAATGGGTTCATTGTCAGCATTAAATTGCTCAATATCTACATCTTCGTCAAAAGATATCTTTTTCACATCTACCAAATTTCTTTGGTTGAAACTTGCAGATTTTTTCAGACTGCTTGATCTGCTCAAAGGACCCTCTGGTTCCTCAACAGCTGATCTATCTCTTGAAGCATCTCTGCTTCCTCCTTTCTTCAGTATAGAAACTGGACTTCCCGTTCTGCTTGGTTGCCTGCTACCAGTTCTACTTGCTTGCTTACTTCCACTTTTGCTTCTAGGCTTCTCTGATGCGTCCTGGCATATCTCACTAACAGTTGGTATTGAATGGACAGCATCTTGTTGAATCTTGTCTGAGATTTCTTTAAAACTCTTTACAGGAACTTCTGTCTTTCTCAGTCCTAGATGAAATTAATAAAGAATTATTTCTGATAAATATTTATTTGATACATTTATGTTGAAAACTTTTACCTTGGTTATCAATTTCAGTGTTTTCACTTTTTAGTTTTGAAGATCGTTTTGTTGCTTCAGGCTGGGAATCTAGAAAAGATTTAGATTTTATTTGAAAAATCAGTATAGGCTATAAGAGTTTTTTTCTGTTGAAAGAATGGTATGTTAAGTTAAAAAATGTTATGGGTGTCACTGGAGAGAGAAACCATATTATTGGGGGTGGGGAGTTTTTGTCATAATTTTAAACATTTTGGGGCGCCCTGCTTGTTATTCTTTTATTATTTCAGCCCCACCCCTCCACCCTTCTGCAACCATGACACCACAAATGTCATTTGAAAACTGAAAATTTTTAAGCAGGCTAGAATTTCAAAATGTTGTTGAAATTTTCTAAAATGAGTTTGTTTTGGTGTACTGTAAATATTATTCAAAATTGTAAGATAGTTAAACCTGAATTATGTTCAGAGACAATATTGTCCTTCTCTGATTTATTCTGTTCATCAATTGCTACAGGTTCTGGAGCTATGTTGTCAGAACTTTTGTTCTTTGAAAGCTTACTGTTTGATATTCCACTTTTTAAATCCTTACTCTTTGTTTCAACAGAAGCAGAAGAATCTTGAAAAAAATAAGAAATCATTTTTTTTTAAGTATTTAGAATTTTTGTTGATATAAACTACAGTGAAACCCTTAATAACGAATACATCGGAAGAATTTATCAAATGTCGTCTTGGCAATTTTTCAATGAGTTTTATACTTTATTACGTAAGTTTCAGTATTTGCGAAAATAAACAAATAGCCATGAATATGCGGGAACAGTTTTAAAGAGTTCCATATAATCATTTAATTAAAAAACTAAATATCTGCAACATTCCATTATCAGAAAGTGAAGAATACGACATTTGATGAATTCTTTCGATGTATTCGTTATTAAGGGTTTCACTGTATGAAGTTATACCTTTCTTTGTTGCCGAGGTGGCTAATTTCTTCCCCGGTTCAGAGTTCTTAATTTCTTTCTTCTCAGTAGTTTCCAGTTTCTCACTTCCAACCTTAGATGCACATACTTTCTCAGAGATTTTTTCATCCTTTTCTGTTTTGTTGACCTTTGTAGTCTCTTTTTCTGTTTTGTTGACCTTAGCGGTCTCTTTTTCTGTTTTGTTGACCTTAGCGCTCTCTTTTTCTGTTTTGTTGACCTCTTTACCAGCATCTTTAACTGTTTTGTTGACCTTAGTGGCAACTTTTTCTGTTTTGCTGGCCTTAGCAGGTTCTTCTTCTGTTTTTTTGACTTTATCAGGTTCTTCTTCTGTTTTGCCATCTTGAACTGAAACGTTTTCTGTTTTGTTGACTTTAGAAACATCTTTTTCTACTTTGCTGGTGATAGGTAGATCCTTTTCTGCTTTATTATTGATCTCTGGTTTTTTTTCAACTTGTGACCTTGTCTTTTCTGTTCCTGTTCCTTCAGATTCTGTGCTTACACTTACAGCAACCTTTGCCTGATCAATATTTTCTACTTTTTCTGTTGATTTATTGATTTTATCGATCTCTACGCAGTCCTTGTCAGTTGTATTTTTCAGATCTTTGGAAGGTTCAACCTGCTTGCCAACTTTTGATGTGATTTGTGAACTTTTATTTTCTTCATCAGTCTTCTTTGAATCAGTAGTTCCTTGCTGACCTATGTTGGAACTTTTAGAGGTGTTGGAGTCACTTTTCTGAGCTGCTTTTAATTGCTTTGAGGATGTCTCTGCTGAATTGTCATCCTTTCTTGCCAAATCTAAAATATTCTCATATTTAATTATTTAATCAAATGTTAGATATTAGAATTAAACAACATAACAATGCACAAAAGTACCCTTTACACAAGCTAAACAAGAATCTGTTGAAGCGTTAAAGGCACTAAATTAATTTAAAAGCTTCTGTAGTTAAATTTGTAAATATTCACCTTTTTCAGTTTCTTCAACTTTTTGATTTTCTGGTTTCTTTTTTTTCTTTTTGATAGAGCTTTCAGTCTTTACTTTTTTATCTAGAAAACACATAAATTGATTGATGGATTGGTAACTTTTATTATCATTTTAAGGAAAGTTTACAGAAACACAACATTTATTATGACAAAATACTTCTGTTAACTAAGTGTGGTTTTCTTGATCTTGTTACCTGTGATTTCCTCAGTGTTTGAAGTGATTTTAGATGTTTTTATATTCTTCGATTCTTTTGTCTCAGAATTAACTAAAATTGCATGTTTATATTTGTTATTTAAACTTTGCATTTGCTTACCTTCAGTTTCTTCCGGTGCAGTTATTTTAGCTTTAGTTTGTATATATTCTTCCAAAACTGGAGTTTCTAAAAATATAAAAGAATATATAATAATTTGCTTTCAGTCAATTTTCAAATAGTATTGTAATACCTGCTTGCACATTTTTAGCATCTTTGCAACTCACAACTTCTGAACTAAGGTCATAACTATAATCATTTGTGTCCTCAGTCTGTTTGATATGTTCAAAATCAAGCTCTGCTTCTAGGGCAGAATCGTTGATCATCATTTCAGCTTCCAAATCATGAACAGGGAAATCAGAACCTCCATATTGCACTTGGGGTTTAGTTACTCCACCAAGTGCAAGGAGATCATCAAATGATTCATCATCATCATCATTCTCTCCGAGCTTGTATTGAAGTTGGGCAAGTTCATCTTGAGGCATACTTGTAAAGGTTCCTGCTGATATAACATCACCTAGAGTACTCATCCTAGATCCAGGTCTGGAGTGCTCTGTACCATCCTATACATTATCATTAGTCATCTTATGCCTTATGTGAAGAGATCTCGTCAGTTAAAAAACGAACAGCCAATAAGAAGCCAGGGAATTTTATGCTTAACCAATGAGAGAACAGAGGAATTTGGGATATTGAGATCAAGCCATCGGGATTATGGAGATCCAACAGAAAGTTCCCAGCCTAGTGTTGGGTAATGTGATTGAGTAATTTTTTTAAATAATTAATTTTCAGACTGTAGTTTAGAGTTAGGCGACAAAAAGATCTGCGAAATTAAGATAAATTAAGTTTGCTTTTATTACATTTTGCAAAATTCTAGCTCTAAGGTTGAAAAATATTTTGCTGAAATTTTTAAGTGTTTATATTTGTCCGAGTTAAAATTTTGCAAAGTGCTCATATTTGATCACCAAAATTTGCAATTTATAGATGAGTAATAATTCAAGTGCTAGGATATGATTGCCTTTTAACATTTAAAGCAAACATTCAAATTTTTTCATTTAGTTTGGGAAATAAGCAATTTTTTGTTGTCAATTTTCACCTGAAGATTTATACTCATATCACTGAGAGCTGATGCGGGTCTTTCATGGAAATCATTTAGTCCGGTAGATTCTAGTCCTGTCGGAAACATGGATGTTGTAATGGTGGGTTTTCTGGATCCTTGAAATAATATTTTTCTTTAAAATCTGTTCAAATTATATGAATTTGGAAATCTCTTTTACCCTTTTCAACTCAGGTCTTCACATACAGACACGTTAAGTTCATTTCAAAACGACTCTTTGTCTTTATATTATTATATTATTAATATAAAGATAATCCCAAATTTTATTATAATAATTATATTATTATAACATTCCAAATTAAAATCTCAATTTACTGTCTCGCCAATTTAAATCAGACGTTCCGTTTGACCTCCACAGTTTGAACCAGACGTTCCGTTTGACCTCCACAGGTAAATAATGTTGTTACTAGGAAGGCACAGTAATGTGGTAACTAGGGATTTTAAATAATATTATTACAAGGGTATACAATAATCTAGTACAGGAATATAAAATAATCTGAGCTGAGCTGAAAACTTTAGAATGTGATATCCTTAATCCCGATCTGTTGACTTATCTGAAGATTAAATTCAAGAGGAAAACAAGCCATATTTAATCTGGAGATTAAGAAAAAGAGTGGATTAAGCATTAATCCTGATATCCACCATTCTAAAGTTTTCAGCTCTGGAAACTTTAGAGTGGGATACCCTTAATCCCGATCGGTTAATTAATCTGGAGATTATGAAAAAGAGGAGATCAAGTATTAATCCCGATATCCCCCATGCAAAAGTTCCCAGCTCTGGTGGGATATAAAATAATTTGGTTACAGAGATTTTTTCTTAAAAATGCTTTTTCAAATTACAAGTTTACAAGTTTACAAGTTTACAAATAGACGCATTAATTGACAAATTCAATTTGTTGAAATTTTTAAGTGTTTCTGCTGTTTGAAAGCTTGGTAAAAAACAAAATTGAAATAGAAAGTCGTCTTTGTCGTGTTGATATATACGACGGCAACTGTACCTGGAGGGCTGTCATCTTCTGCTTGTCTTGCTTGGAAAGCAATCCTGAATGCTTCAACATCGGGAGCAACTACTCGACCTAGGTTCAGAAGCTCAAGGACAATTTATCGTCAAAGAAATTTGATCTTTTTCATTATGAAAAATATTTAACACTCCTTTAAAAGTATTTTTGTTCATAAAATTGATGTTTAGGGGTCCATTAAACTCTTTTAAACAGTTTAAATAATTTTAAAAAATCTGTTTTTAAATTTAATATTGTTGATCATCGATAGTTTATAAACTGAAAAATTGTCAAGTTTAAAAGTTGTAACCTCCAAGCATAGAATCAGTGCTGCTACTTCTTGATACAAAGTTAAGATCTGGAGTAATGGTTCCTCCGCTCAACTTCAGAGCTGGCATACGGAACGGAGACGGTTCCCGGGACCTGACATCATGGATATTTTATCAAAAGCTTAAGAACTCGGCTTTGCCTGGAAACTAGTTTTTTCCAAACTAAAGTAAACCCACTAAAGTTAGAATTGTTAATACAAGCTTTAAACATTTCCCCAGTTGAACAAGTGACCCTTCAGTAAAAATTTGAGGAAAATCGGTCAAGGGGTTAAAGAGTTATGATCGGACAGACAAACTGAGATTACTACTTTATATCTAAATAGATTCCATGAAAGGAATTGAGTACTTGCTACAAACTCTACCTTTCTTATCTCTATATCTTTGCAAACTAATACTGTTGACCATTGATATCTAAATTAGGAATCAGGTTGCATAGGTGTAGAAATTAGAAAATTCGAGTTTGGAAAATGTAATCAGACCCTTTACTGGCTGTTCGAATATCAATGGCTGAACGATATCAAGGGAGAAAATTTAACCAGGAACGTCACGTGTACAATATTTTTTTCAGAAAAAAAAACAAGATGCGTTGTAAAACAGATTTGCAATTTTTCTAGATAAAACTTGAATTTTCTGAAGTAAAATATGGCAATTTCATTCGGTTTTTTATCATTAGATTAAAGTGTTTCTCTCAAAGGGACTCAAAAACTGAAAGTTTTATTTAAAAACAATTTGTATGAAAAAGAAAATGTTAAAGTTTGAAAAGATAAAAAAATCTTACTTTGATCTATGTCTATCCAGGGGTGTGGGACTTCTTCTTCGGACAGGGGTCGTTGCTCGGACATGGTTTAAATCTTAACAAAATTAATAATTAATTTATTTAGTATCTAACATAACTAAACTAAACTAATTCTAACTTTAGAATTGCAGGTTTCTAAGTGAATATGAAGAGTTTTAGTTTCCTGATTTAAAAATGACAATTCCCAATTCCTAAGGGTATCCCTGAAACCTTAAAGATGGAACATAACGTCGAAAAGTGTTTATTTCTAATAATTTTTCCATTGCTATTTATCAGTGCAAGTTGGACTTCTGAAGAGAAATCGCAAATTAAAAAAAAGTAGATTACAGTAACAAAAGCATGGATATCTTATTCATACTTGATCAGACACAGCTTTTAACTATACTGTTGTAAATCATGCATTGTCATCTTCGCATGGAGGGTCACTTGAAATTACGATTACAGTCCCTTTAAAGTCTTCAATTTGTAAATATCGAAATTTTGCCCTAAATGCTGCATTTTAATATGTTTGTAACCCGCTCAGACGGATCCACTCTCCAGGCCGTTTGATTATTTTCGTTGAAAATAGCCAACCATTTCTTTAAATAATTTTTAAAATATCTTGTGGTGGATTTCCGTATATCCTCCGAATAAAACAAAATACTTGAATTCAAAGTGTATACGGCTAAGCACTATCCTAACCAAAAGTTTTATTTAGCCTTTGGTTAATCAGATATAATAAATGCCTTATATATTTTAAAAGAAAATTATGTGTACGTTTAACATATCAATCTTGTAACTCCTGTAATGTCCCTTATTTACCTAGACTGTTAATATCCCTGTCTATAATCTTGTAACTCCTGTAATGTCCTGTATTTACCTAGACTGCTAAGATCTCTGTCTATAATCTTGTAACTCCTGTAATGTCCTGTATTTACCTAGACTGTTAATATCCCTGTCTATAATCTTGTAATTCCTGTAATGCCCCTTATTTACCTAGACTGCTAAGATCCCTGTCTATAATCTTGCAACTCCTGTAATGTCCTGTATTTACCTAAACTGTTAAAGTAATGTCCCTTATTTACCTAGACTGCTAGGATCCCTGTCTTCAATCTTGTAACTCCTGTAATGTCCCTTATTTACCTAGACTGCTAAGATCCGTATCTACAATCTTGTAACTCCTGTAATACCACTTATTTACCTAAACTGATAATATTCAATCTTGTAACTCCTGTAATGTCCCTTATTTACCTAGACTGCTAAGATCCCTGTCTGCAATCTTGTAACTCCTGTAATGTCCCATATTTACCTAGACTGCTAAGATCCTTGTCTTCAATCTTGTAACTCCTGTAATGCCCCTTATTTACCTAGACTGTTACGATCCCTGTCTACAATCTTGTAACTCCTGTAATGTCCTGTATTTACCTAGACTGTTACAATCCCTGTCTTCAATCTTGTAACTCCTGTAATGTCCCATATTTACCTAGACTGCTAAGATCCCTGTCTACAATCTTTTAACTCCTGTAATGTCCCTTATTTACCTAGACTGCTAGGATCCCTGTCTATAATCTTGTAACTCCTATAATACCACTTATTTACCTAGACTTCTAAGATCCCTGTCTACAATCTTGTAACTCCTGTAATGCCCCTTATTTACCTAGACTGTTAAGATCCTTGTCTTCAATCTTGTAACTCCTGTAATGTCCTGTATTTACCTAGACTGTTAAGATCCCTGTCTATAATCTTGTAACTCCCGTAATGCCCCTTATTTACCTAGATTTCTAAGATCCCTGTCTCCAATCTTGTAACTCTTGTAATGCTTATTTACCTAGACTGTAAATATCCCTGTCTCCAATCTTGCAACTCCTGTAAGGCTTATTTACCTAGACTGTCAATATCCCTGTCTTCAATCTTGTAACTCCTGTAATGTTCCTTATTTACCTAGACTGCTAGGATCCCTGTCTACAATCTTGTAACTCATGTAATGCCCCTTATTTACCTAGACTGTCAATATCCCTGTCTTCAATCTTGTAACTCCTGTAATGTTCCTTATTTACCTAGACTGTTAAGATCCTTGTCTTCAATCTTGGAACTCCTATAATACCACTTATTTACCTAGACTGCTAAGATCCTTGTCTATAATCTTGTTAAGATCCCTGTCTATAATCTTGTAACTCCTGTAATACCACTTATTTACCTAGACTGCTAAGATCCCTGTCTATAATCTTGTAACTCCTGTAATGCCCCTTATTTACCTAGACTGCTAAGATCCCTGTCTACAATCTTGTAACTCATGTAATGCCCCATATTTACCTAGACTGTTAAGATCCTTGTCTTCAATCTTGTAACTCCTATAATGTCCCATATTTACCTAGACTGCTAGGATCCCTGTCTACAATCTTGTAACTCCTGTAATGCCCCTTATTTACCTAGACTGCTAAGATCCCTGTCTTCAATCTTGTAACTCCTGTAATGCCCCTTATTTACCTAGACTGCTAAGATCCCTGTCTTCAATCTTGTAACTCCTATAATGTCCCTTATTTACCTAGACTGCTAAGATCTATGTCTTCAATCTTGTAACTCCTGTAATGTCCCTTATTTACCTAGACTGCTAGGATCCCTGTCTACAATCTTGTAACTCCTGCAATGCCCCTTATTTACCTAGACTGCTAAGATCCCTGTCTTCAATCTTGAGTGTCATAATTTCTTTATTTACAGTCAACTCTAGATCCTGAACATAATTATTTATCAATTTATTGAAATAAATTAACATCATTAAAATGACTGTTCACTTTAAAATGCGATAAAAAATGCACACCAATTCCTTTTAAAGGGAGTGTACACGTAATTTTAAGTGACCTTTTATTTATAAAGTGCCATTTGAGATTCAACAATGGTTCCCTTTGAACCTCGGTTATTGTATGTTTATCAGCAAGAGGTTCTGAATATGAGACATTTTTTAAATAATAAATGACTAATTTTTTCTCGCTAATTTCTATATAAGCAAAAAAGCCATTTAAATTAAAACAAAGATTATAAAAAATAAAAAATAAAAATTAATCGTTTTTTTGTGGATTAAAAGTTTTCAACTTCAACCTTATTGTCTGAGTAACATCTCTTCTGCTTGTTCCGAATTTCTTTCAACTTCATTCTGAAAAAATGAATATTAAAAAAGAAAAAAAAACATAAGTACAATAAAAAATTTTAGAAAATAATTATATAAAGCTTACCCTAGATATAAACAGGTTTCTTTGGTTGCTTCAAAATCCTCCTCGTCCATAGAGTTAGACTGAACCAACTAGATTATATCCATAGAGTTAGACTGGACCAACTTTAATATATCCATAGAGTTAGACTGAACCAACTAGATTATATCCATAGAGTTAGACTGAACCAACTAGAATATATCTATAGAGTTAAACTGAACCAACAAGAATATATTAATAGAGTTAGACTGAACCAACTAGAATAAATTAAAGTTAGACTGAACCAACAAGAATATATCCATAGAGTTAGGCTGAACCAACTAGATTATATCCATAGAGTTAGACTGAACCAACTAGAATATATCTTTAGAGTTAGGCTGAACCAACTAGAATATATCTATAGAGTTAAACTGAACCAGATAGAATATATCTATTTAGTTAGACTGAACCAACTAGAATATATCCATAGAGTTAGACTGAACCAACTAGAATATATCCATAGAGTTAGGCTGAACCAACTAAAATATATCTATAGAGTTAGACTGAACCAACTTGAATATATCCATAGATATAGACTGAACCAACTAGATTATATCCATAGAGTTAGACTGAACCAACTTGAATATATCCATAGAGTTAGACTGAAACAACTAGAATATATCTATAGAGTTAAACTGAACCAACTAGAATATATTAATAGAGTTAGACTGAACCAACTAGAATATATTAAAGTTAGACTGAACCAACAAGAATATATCTATAGAGTTAGACTGAACCAATTAGAATATATCCATAGAGTTAGACTGAACCAACTGGAATATATCCATAGAGTTAGACTGAACCAACTATAATATATCTATAGAGTTAGATTGAACCAACTAGAATATATTAGAGTTAGACTGAACCAACTATAATATATCTATAGAGTTAGATTGAACCAACTAGAATATATCTATTGAGTTAGATTGAACCAACTAGAATATATCCATAGAGTTAGACTGAAATAACTAGAATATATCCATAGAGCTAGATTGAACTAACTAAAATATATTCAAAAAGTTTAATTGAACCGAATAGAGCATGTGTAAAATTATAATTATATGTTTAGTGTAAAATTCAGAATCAGACGGAATCAGAAATTGTCATTGTGTTCTACTACTTCAGGCTTATGCCATGGACTTAATGTCAATACTGGAGTGTCAATTTATACTGCAGGTGGAGTATCAATTTTATACTGCAGGCGTAGTGTCAATTTATGCTGCAGGTGGAGTGTCAATTTATACTGCAGGCGTAGTGTCAATTTATACTGCAGGCGTAGTAACAATTTATACTGCAGGTGGAGTGTCAATTTATACCACAGGCGGAGTGTCAATTTATACTGCAGATGATATGTCAATTAATACTTTAAGCGGAGTATCAATTTATACTGCAGGCGGAGTGTCAATTTATACTGCAGATGGTGTGTCAATTAATACTTCAAGCGTAGTGTCAATTCATACTGCAGGCAAAGTGTCAATTTATACTGCAGGCGTAGTGTCAATTTATACTGCAGAAGGTGTGTCAATTAATACTCTAAGCAAAGTGTCAATTTATACTAAAGGCGGAGTGTAAATTTAATTATACTACAGAAGGTGTGTCAATCAATACTGCAGACGGTGTGTTAATTTATACTGCAGACAGAGTGTCAATATATACTGCAGTCAGAGTGTCAATTTAAACTGCAGACTGAGTATCAATTTATACTGTAAGCGGAGTGTCCCATTTATACTGCATGCAGACTGGAAATGCATACCACAGGGCTTAAGTACTGCAGGGGAAGCTTCAACGAGTACAGCAGGTGGAGTGACAATATGTACTGAAGCAGGAGTATCAATATGTACAACAAAATCTTAATTAGATAATAATCAGTTTTACATTATTTTACCTCTTTAACTGCATTAAACTCATTGAGAATTTGTTCTTCCTCCACAAACAATTCCTGCAAAGTAACAATTTTATTTCATTGTCTCAGAATATCAATTTGATATGAAATCGTAGATGGATATGAGAATTTCCGGGTGAAAAACCGGAGATTCATATATTATCCAATTGATGCATTATAAGAATATTCATGTAAAGGGAAGAATATCCATGTAAATGAAAGAATATCCAGGTAAATGAAATAATATGCAAGTAAATGATAGAATTTCTAGGTTAAATGAAAGAATATCCAGGTAAATGAAAGAATATCCAGGTAAAGGGAAGAATATCCAGATAAAAGGAAGAATATCCAAGTAAATGGAAGAATATCCAGATAAATGAAAGAATATCCAGGTAAGTGAAAGAATATCCATGTAAATGAAAGACTATCTAGGTAAATGAAAGAATATCCAGGTAAATGAAAGAATATGCAGGTAAAGGGAAGAATATCCAGGTAAATGAAAGAATATCCAGGTAAATGAAAGAATATCCAAGTAAATGAAGGAATATCCAAGTGAATGAAAGAATATCTAGTTAAATGAAAGAATATCCATGTAAATGAAAGAATATCCAGGTAAAGGAAAGAATATCCAGGTAAAGGGAAGAATATCCAAGTAAATGAAAGAATATCCAGGTAAATGAAAGAATATCCAGGTAAAGGAAAGAATATCCAGGTAAAGGGAAGAATATCCAAGTAAATGAAAGAATATCCAGGTAAATGGAAGAATATCTAGGTAAAGGTAAGAATATCCAGGTAAAGCGAAGAATATCCAGGTAAAGGGAAAAATATCCAGGAAAAGGAGAGACAAACTTATTCAAAACTTTGGATATTTAACCAGTAAGGTAAGAGGTCAATTATTCTTTACTAGGGAAGAAACTTAGCTAAACTCATTCGTTGCATTTAAAAGTTCTCAGCTGAGACAATTGAAAGAATATCCAGGTGCCGAGGAAAAGAATTTAGAAAAATGAGGATTTAGTAAAATATTTCTGTACAATACCTTAGAAAGCTTGAGCTGTTCTCGAACTTGAAATAGTTTAAAGGCATTTCTCGTTACACGATCCACCTAGACACATAGATAGATAGATAGATTGATAGGTAGAAATATAGATAGATAGATAGATGGATAGATAGATAGATAGATGGATAGATAGATAGATAGATAGATAGATAGATAGATAGATAGATTTAAAAGTCGGATAATCGCATATTTTTTATAAAATTTCTAAGGTCAGACAACGGGGAAACAGCATTTACTTTTAATTAAAAAAGTCGTTTTAAATGTAAATATTTTGTATTATTGAAAGATGACAGATTTCTCTCATTTTCTCAGTTAGATTTTTTCTAACACGGTTTAACATACTAAAAGGTATATTCCGTGTAATTTAATAATAAACAATATAAACGATAATTGTGGAGAAATCTTTGTTTTTATTCTTCAAATTTTGACAATTTCCAAGAAGTAGGTCACATTTCTAACGTATAATATAAGTTTGTCCCATTGCTGTAAAAAATAACCAACATCATCATTTCTCAGATGAATGTTTGTTAATATATAATAAACATTGGGATTCTTTAAGCAAAGTATCAACCCTTTTCTACAGAGCTGCGAAATATATTTACGTCTGGGACAATTCCGTAACATTTAGAAAGATGAAACCAAAATTTTTAAATGTTACATCGGTAACTTATCGTTTTGATGCAGAAGGTTGTTTTCTACGGGCAACGCCCAGCACTTTAACTTGTGTAAGATATTACCTTCGGTAGAATCCAATGTTGCTTCAAATCTTTGATGTCGATTTTAACCTAAAAATATTACACTTTTTATCAAGAGGAATAGATTAACAGATGAATAGATGAATAGATGAAAATATAGATGATTAGATGAATACAAGAATTAAATACCTGTTCTGTAAGCTTGAGCTCTAAGGCATTAAGCCTCCTCAGGGTGTCCTCGAAATTTCCTAGATCTTGACGGCTTTCAAGCCCACTTATCCGACCTCCTAGAAGTATACAGGGTGTCCCAAAAAATATAAAAAATAAAAGGACTGTGTATTGTATTCTGGTAGTTTTGGGCCCGAATTTAATGAATTTGAGCCAACTGACGTCGGTTCAAATCCTTCTTTAATCTTTAACATTGAATCGATGGTTCAAATTTGAACCGGTAGTTGTTAGTTCAAGGACGTAGCCCAAATTAATTAAATTCGGTCCCTGGGGTGTATTGAAAACGCTTGTGTAGGGTTTCCAACTTTTTCTGGATCGACTTGGTTCCGTTCAGGCCTTTCGGAAACTTTCCTGAAGCTGTTAAGAATTAAGGATAAATCATTAAAAGCTTTCGGAAATAACATGTAAAAAGCCCCCAACCCCCAAATTTGTTAACCTGAAGGGCCACAAACTTATTTATGAAAATTAGGTGCAACTGAAAACCGAAAGCTTAAGCCGTAATTAAGGCCTAACGACAGATTAGACCTGAGTCGTATTTTCTTGAATTTTTTTAATCGCCGGCACTGATTTAATTGAACTCGTTTGAATTAATTGATTGTAATTCATTCGCCTGAGCCTGTGATTTAAAAAATTCAGGAAAATACTACTCAGGTTTAAGCTGCCCTTGGCCCTTATTTACGGACTGGGCTTTCGGATCTAATTTGGCACAGAGTGGAGTTCATAAAACCGGTTTAATATTGGATTTGGCGGTTGGAATTGGCGTATTCCGGGTTTTGATGAGAACAAATGTTTACATTGAGCTGTATTTTCCACTAAAACCAATTAAGGTCGGTTTTATTTTCCTAAATCGAGCCTAAGATCTTGCAGCTGTCAATCACGTGACACAAGCTGGGCTCTAAGATTGGGCCTTAAAGAGCTGGGCTTAAGGAATTACAACTCGAGAGAAAACTTTTAAATTGCGGGCTCTCGGCCCGAATTATCAAAGTTAGATTACTAAAAATTCCTATAACTTAATCCGAAAAAGTTTTCATTATTGAAATGTATTGAAAACTATACCTTCCATTTTTAGGCCGAACAAAGTTTGACCATAACAAATATAATCTGAAATCAGTTAAATATTTAAAATGTGAACATTTAGCTCCAATTAGTTTGCTTCGTGTACGTTTCACACACGATTTTTAATAGAAACTCTTTGATCATTTTATTGAAATTAACATTAACGTTTCTTTGCTAAACTCTGACAACTTTGTTTGATCTTACGTGCAACTCCTTTTGATCGTCCCCCGTTATAAAAATAACTACAACGAAGTACATCCTGTCTGTTTCGACATATTTTATGTAGTATCTCGTTTTCAAAGCCTGTAAAAACTTAGTGTTACAGGCTTACCATATCTTCATAGTAAAATATGAAGTCCAACAAAAAAAAAAACAATGTTTCATTGTCATTCAACGGGTAAAAATGGATTTTAAAGTTAAGGCTTACTTAGATACAACCAGAAGCTCTAATTTACAGTGTCGTGCAGAAACAGCGAAATAACTTTCGTCATCTCTCTTGCTTTTAGTTATAAAGAGAAGGAAGTAGGATGGAGGAAGTAAGTAGGAAGGAGGGGAGGGAGTAGGATATAGGGAAGGGAGTAGGCAAGAGGAAAGGGAGTAGGAAGGAGGAAATGGATTAGGATGGAGGGAAGGGAGTAGGATGTAGGGAAGGGAGTAGGATGTAGGGAAGGGAGTAGGATTGAGGGAAGGGATTAGGATGGAGGGAAGGGAGTAGGATATATGGAAATGAGTAGGATGGAGGGAAGGGAGTAGGCAAGAGGAAAGGGAGTAGGATATATGGAAGGGAGTAGGAAGGAGGGAAGGAAGTAGGATGTAGGGAAGGGAGTAGAATGGAGGGAAGGGAGTAGGATGTAGGGAAGGGAGTAGGGTGGAGGAAAGGGAGTAGGTAGGAGGGAATGGATTAGGATGGAGGGAAGGGAGTAGGAAGGAGGGAATGGATTAGGATGGAGAGAAGGGAGTAGGAAGGAGGGAATGGATTAGGATGGAATAAAGGAAGTAGGATGTAGCAAAGGGAGTAGGATGGAGGGAAGGGAGTAGGATGTAGGGAAAGGAGTAGGGGGGAGGGAAGGGAGTAGGATGGAGGGAAGGGAGTAGGATGGAGGGAAGGGAGTAGGATAGAGGATGGAGGGAAGGGAGTAGGATGGAGGGAAGGGAGTAGAATGGAGGGAAGGGAGTAGGATGTAGGGAAAGGAGTAGGATGGAGGGAAGGTAGTAGAAAGCAGGATGGATGGAGGGTGAAACTATAAGTTTAACTTAAGATCTTGTATTTTATGAAACTAAGTTTAACTTGATCTTGTATATTATGAAACTAAGTTTAGCTTGATTTTGTATATTGTGAAACTAAGTTTAACTTGATCTTGTATATTATGAAACTAAGTTTAACTTGATCTTGTCTGCTATGAAACTAAGTTTAACTTGATCTTGTATATTATGAAACTAAGTTTAACTTAATCTTGTATATTGTGAAACTAAGTTTAACTTGATCTTGTCTGCTATGAAACTAAATTTAACATGATCTTGTATATTATGAAACTAAGTTTAGCTTGATCTTGTATATTGTGAAACTAAGTTTAGCTTGATTTTGTATATTATGAAACTAAGCTAGACAAGAATGAACTAGCTGGAGTAAGGTTGACCAGCTCCAGCAGCTGATCTACACACAGAGAAAGGAATCCAGGTAGAAATATTATACACACAATACAAAACATATACACACAATACAACACACATATACACACAATACAACACACAAACACAATACAACACACATAAACACAGTGCAACACACATAAACACAATGCAACACACATAAACACAATGCAACACATATACACACAATACAACACACATACACAATACAACACACATAAACACACTAGAACACACATTCACACAATACAACACACAATAAACGCAATACAACACATATACACACATAATACAACACATATACACACAATACAACACACATACACACAATACAACACACATAAACACAATACAATACACATACACACAATACAACACACAATAAACACAATACAACACATATACACACAATACAACACATATACACACAATACAACACACAATACAACACACAATACAACACACATACACACAATACAACACACAATACAACAATTATTGTCCCTGTTTAGAGTTATCTCTTAAAAGTCTTTAACAGTCTTAAAAATTAAATAGTTTTATTTTTATAATTTTTAGACAAAAAAATATCGATTTTTTTAGCCTATGTGGCCTTCCATGAATGTCCACAAAAAAATTTCAGCCAAATCGGTCCAGCCGTTTGGCCGGCTATACACAACATATACACGAATGTCTTATTTTATTATATAGATGTATTAAATGAATTATAATAAAAATATTAATGCTTTAGAGATTTGAATTACATTTATACTTTAAAAAACGTTTCTCTAATTTCTCTATGAAACGAATCTAACATTTTAGTGACAACCGAACTGAATTGAAATACGGAAAATTTGAAGACGACCTTTAACTTTTCTTTACTACAGGGTGTCCCACGAAACATGACAGTTGGTGAATAGTTTTGAGTGTCTTCTTCCATGTACTGTATTAGATATGGAAAACTTTTTGTAGTTTATTTTGTTTTAACAATCTTTTACTCAAATATATTTTACTTTTAAATCAATTTTACTCTATAAGATGACTCCCATACAAATACAATAGCAAAGGACCAATGCTCCTTTCTCAACAGGCCAAAAATCGCGGAACATAACTCAGGTCAGAAGAAACTTCAGAAATCATTTCTATCCTGTCCAAATGAATAATATACCCAAGGTTATAATGCAAGGAAAGGTAATTGCGGTCGCATATACGCTGCGTACATCTTGAAACCAGTTCTCTCTGGGCGGACTTTGTAAACAAGAATAGATGCATCAGTGTTCGTTTAGTATACGAGGAGGTTAAAAGCATTTAATTTTTATAATTTTAAAAATTCACATAATAGTTACCTATGACCAGAATATTTCATAGATTATTTTTGTGAAAATGGATTCCCTGTCAGGCTGTGACATCCGTCTTGTGTTTACTTTTCCGCCCAAAGACAGTACACTGCAGGACAAAAAATGTGTACACCTCTAAAATTACTTTCCTTACATTAGTACCTTGAATGTACTTGGGTATATTTTTTTTAATTGACTTGTAGACATATTCTATCAACAGAGGGTGTACTTAGGCCGGTGGCAAAAAACGAGGGTACTGACACCATAATCACAGACCGGCTGCAGTGGATAGAGGGTGAATCATTCTTATGTACATTGTACATTGTTTTTATCTGCAATTCTCATTCGTTTATAGTGGGCCAACCAATTAAAACAACCTACTCTGGTTATGCGGGTCCAAACTACTTAGTAAATTGTGATTTTTTTATTTGTATTATTTCGTGCTTTGTAGTTGAATAAAATATGAAAATATGAAATATGATAAATAAGATGGTCTATTTTAATTAACCAAAATGGAGGCCATTTTGAGCACCTGCTTCACAAGCACAAGCTTGCCATGAGCAGCGATAATTAAGTATAATTGAAAATGATATAATCTCTGTAACACATTAATAAAACTACTTTTGAGAATTTAATTTTATTTATGTATATTACGGATAAATAGAAATTGCCATTCTAGCAGAAAGGCCCTTTATAAACATTTGAAGTACTGTTTACACATAAAATTGTGTTTACAATGTACATTAAGTATATAGTTAAATAGAATAAAAAGTTTATCTCTTGTTCAAAGTTTGATCTTAATAACATAAATAGTGATATTTTGTAAAAATACGCCAAATCATAGACTAATAATTTAGACCTAAGAATATAATAATCAAATAATGGCGGAACAAAAAAGTTTTCTATTGTTCTATTGTCTCGTGGAGTTAAATTTTCCTTTTCAGTGTTTTAAACAAAATATGAATAAGATCCACAAGGAAAAAAATTAATGGTGAATAATGAATGCAAATCAAAATCTAAGAGAGAGAGAAAACGATATAAAACTTATTTCAACTCATGAAGCGAAGAAATAATGCATTTTAATCTACTCTCTTTAGACTATAATATATAAAGGAAAAATTCAATATTTATTTAAAATTAAGTGAATATTTAAAAGTTCTTATTAAATGTTCTAAATATTAAACAAACAGTTAACTTGTCCTCTTTAAAGGGACAGTCACCAGAAAGTGAGCAACACCCACTGATTGTTTTCTTTCTAAAAATTTAAACTTTTTAATTAGGATTTATCTGTATCTCCCACATTAACTCGTTAACTCGTTAAATATGGAACACTTGTCTTTACGTATCTGTCCCTTTAATAAATAAGAATAAGTTTAAATATCTATCATCTACTAAACATAAAGTCACTGCACAGTTTATGGAAAATTGTACGTCCATTAGATAACGTACTGAAATTTAAATATAACTAAATTTAACTAATTTTCCTAAAATTGAATTTGTTTTAATGTTTTAAATAAAGTAATTTAGAAAAATGTTTTCATTAATTAAGGAAACAAATTTATGTACAATGTAGATAATAGATATACATAGTACATATGTATAAACAAGAAATGCAAAGAAAAGACTATAAGAAAAGACTAAAAGATTTCTACAATAGTATAGAACTGTGTCTCTAGATGAATATAGGGCTATGTCCTGTAGATATATACAGGACTGTGTCCTCTAGATGAATACAGGACTGTGCCCTCTAGATTGATATAGGACTGTGTCCTCTAGATGAATATAGGGCTGTGTCCTCTAGATTAATATAGGACTGTGTCCTCCAGATATATACAGGAGTGTGTCCTCTAGATGAATACAGGACTCTGTCCTCTAGGTGAATACAGGACTGTGTCCTCTAGATGAATACAGGAATGTGTGCTGTAGATGAATACAGGACTGTGCCCTCTAGATGAATACAGGACTGTGTCCTCTAGAGGAATACAGGACTGTGACCTCTAGATAAATACAGGACTATGTGCACTAGATGAGTGCAGGACTGTGTCCTCTAGATGAGTGCAGGACTATGTCCTCTAGATTAACACAGGACTGTGTGCTCTAGATGAATAAAGAACTGTGTGCTATAGATGAATACAGGACTGTGTCCTCTAGATGAGTGCAGGACTATGTCCTCTAGATTAACACAGGACTGTGTCCTCTAGATGAGTGCAGGACTATGTCCTCTACTTTTACTTCTACTATCTCTTCTTTCTGCCCCTAGACCTGGAGTTAATGCATTTGCTGAGTTACCAACCTATAAAACATAACATTCAGATATTACAAACAATAGTCATTGATTATTTTTCGATGCATTTGTAAATAGTTAATATTTCATAATATTTTTGCTTTAAAAAAAAAAAATTTCGCTTGATTTTCGAATATTCCTGGAAAATATGAAAATGTCGTCTTTATTATCAAAAATCTTTGAAACAGGAATAACAGTTTTCAAAATTAACTCTCAGATCATGAAAAATAAAAAAAAAACATTAGGAAATATTAACTATTTGCGAATGCGTCGAAAAATAATCAATGACTATTGTTTGTAATATCTTGATGATTTGCTTGGAATTAAATTTACTATTTTACGATCCCAGTTGAATGTTGCACGTTTCTGAATTCGTATGCATGCTGTGTTCTTCGGTTTAAGTCGTTTTAAAATTTTCTCCTTATAAACGCAACAGATAGAAGAAAGATTGTAGCAATCAAAAGCGCTTATTTTTCGCCTTAAGTCTATACCCCCTTTCATTTTTGGAGTACACTCCCTTTAAGAAAAAAGAAAATAAATAGTTTAATTAAACAAAAACATGTAGAAATATTTAGTTCAAGGCTGACTATGACATAGCAATAAAGGATATCGTTGTACATCGGGCATTGCCGTGACAGTGCATGGAGGGTCACTTGAAATTACACTTATCGTTGCCCTGTAAAGCCTAGTTATAAAAAAAATCAGATATTTAATTTAAATCTTTTTTTTAAATTTCTATTTTACCTTTCTCGGATTGGCTGGGGAAATTGTTGTAATAAGAACGCTTCCAGCAGACGATCTTCTGCTGGTCTTCTGACTATATCTAAACAAAAATCATGTATAGGGTGTCTACAAATATATAAATATCGTGTCTTAATAGAGTAAACTTGTCCGTCATCACTGTTCATCTTGCGGAGACATTATAGACACATCTTTACAGCAATTACTTTACAGACAAAATAATATTATGGCTTTTGAAATTAGGTATTCAGAACAAAGACGATATAGAATTCGTCACTGAATTCCCATGTTTTTTTGGACACCCTGTATATATATATATATTTCAGCTCTAGACTTGCAAATTCTAGAACTGTAAAGGACTTGTCTTTATCTTCAGTATTTCTAAGTAAGGGGCAAAATTTACACTTATTTCTGCGTGAAAACATGCAACCTTTAGATTTGTAATTTAAAAGGAATTGGGCCTTTGCCACTTAGTCAAATTTTTTAATCTATATATTTTTTCAGCCTGATAGTATAAACCTTTAATATTTATTTTATCCTTTGATAAAGTATTTGATCTAACAGAATTCATAGTTTTAAATATCTCAGGCCTGAGACATTTGGTTCCAACGATAAAGGGATTGCAAAATTTGAGTTTGTGGCACATACTCAATTCCTTTGAAATAGATTTTAAAACCACATTAAAATCAAGCCAACTAGAGACTTTACTTATAAGGACTTTAAAACTTTGGCGATTATGAAGAAAGATTTTATGAATCTGCGTTTTTGGATAAATTTTTTATTCAAAATGGTGTTTTCAATATTTCTTTCCAAATCCTAATTCCCTTGCTTCGTTCTATACATAAGTGCAGTGCGGCATAACATTGTGCAGTTAAACCTTCTGATTTTGGCAAAATAATACATGCCTAATATACAATTTTGTAATGTAAATATAAACTGTTAAACATAAAAATGAATGCATATATAAGCTACAATTTCTATTTTAGAATCTATATAATTATAGAAAATTGATATTTTTCGTGACTGGTGACAATCATAATTCGTAGCATTTTTTATTTAGTGTTTTTTTCCCGAAAACTGCGAAGTAATGAATATATCTATCAGTACTATTAAAGATAATTGGTTTAAATCATACCAAATAAATCATGCCCAAAACCAACTATCAGGACTGAAACGTATAAAATGTACTAGATGTTGCTTTCATTGTAAATCGATAAAATTGGAAAACTGCGCACGCAAAATGAAATAGAAATAGGATTCTTGAGGAAAATATGTATCGTCAGCTGTGTTGATTTCGCAATGTACGTTAGCGTACACTTCAGTTTTCCAGCAATTTAAACACCATTTTAAAGATAAACACGCGTAGTTCTCTGACCTGGATGATTAGGTTACTAATGGCTACCAATGCAAATCGGGCATTATCCTCTTCGCATAAAGGGTCACTTAAAATTGCGCGAACACTCCCTTTAACGGAACGGAGTTTAAGAATATATTTTGGAAATTTGACATTTCTAGTCGTCGGACAAAAAAACCTGGAAGCGGTATCATTATTAAGTTAAGTGTGCATGAATTAAACCAATAATTATCGATTTTTGTCAAAGTTTAGATTTTTACTAGGATACTGGAAAGTGGAGAAACTACATGACTGGAAATGTTAAAGTGAACATATAAATAAATAAGTAGAAAGCTAATATAAAATTTTCATTAACAAATCTATATTAATCCACCGTTTATATCATATGTGAAAAAAGATTTTTATGTAAAATTTGTATTTCTATTTGGTTGATCTAAGAAGGAAAAAAACTTTTGGTTAAAGGGATTGTAAACGGAATTTCAAATACGTGACGATTGATTAGAGTGAGAAGTTCGATTCACAACGGTACAATTAAAAACTATGTTTGCTCAAGTATTCAGTAAATATCCAAATTTTTGTTTTTTTAAATTATTTGTTCTTATTAGAACGGTTTCTTTTCTACATTTGCACATTTCTTGCTTCAGAAACAATGGAGAAATTATCAGAATTTAATACTTAACAAGCTAAAAAACGACGTTATCTTCAAGTTTCCTTATCAGATTAAAGTTTTACAGTTACTGTTGCGAATCGGGAGTGTTCGCGAAAAATTAAAGATGGTATAAGCTGATATCGTATTTAATTCGATATTGATCGCGATACTAATTTTACCTCTATCTGTTGCGTGAATAAGGAGAAAAGGGTTGACAACGTTTTGTATCCAAAACTATGACTTTCAATTACAATTTGACCTATTAATTATAATTTTTTTTTTATAGTTAATTTGTATAATTTTGTATGCAAAAATTGTATAAATTCACAGAGTTGTATTATTCCACTCTAAATACGCTCTTGGGTGTAAGACTCTCTTAATACCATTTTCTCATCATATACAGATTAAAGTCAAATTAGTAGCAATCGATATCGAATTCAATTCGATGTCAATCTATGCCCCCTTCCATTTTTCTCGAACACTCCCATTAATGTTGGTGGCCTAAATTACAACTAAATAAACATCGAGGCCCATAAAAGGGTCGTAAAAGTTATATCAGTGCCATGACAGTTTGAATACAATTAAACCTTAGATTTATAACACATGCATTTAGGGAACGGCATCGTTGTTAAAAACGAAGGAAACCGTTTTCATTATTTGCACTTGGATGAACCTCTTGGAGTCTTTACATTGGATCAATATCAGTCTCTGAAAATCGGAATTCTTTCAGGGGAAACATTATTTATTTCATATGGTCCTTGAATTGGGACTACAGTGGTATAAGCTGTTAACGATCAACGACAGATTTTTAAGGACCAATATTTCGTTTAATTAAAAAATGTTCTTCGTTTTGTTTTCAGTTTTTTCGTCGTTAACGAAGCGAAATTAGTTCGTTTTGAGAAAAATTAAACTGCTCATCATTTAATGCAGTTACATTAACAGTTCCTTTAATTGGTTTATTACCTGTCACTATCAACACTGTTAGATGAGAAGCTTCTATGTTGGCGTGATATTGGAGTATTACTACTATACGCACTGAACGACGAATTACGAGAAGAGGTAGAGGAACGGGTAGAATACTAGAAATAATAAATATTAGAATCCTACTCCAACTCCTACTTTGACTCCTACTCCTACTCCTACTCCTACTCCTACTCCTACTCCTACTCCTACTCCTACTCCTACTCCTACTCCTACTCCTACTCCCACTCCTACTCCTACTCCTACTCCTACTCCTACTCCTACTCCTAATTCTACTTCTACTCCTACTCCTACTCCTACTCCTACTCCTACTTCTACTTCTACTCCTACTTCTACTTTTATTCCTATTCCTACTCCTACTCCTACTTATACTTTAACTCATACTCCTACTCGTTTTCCTACTCCTATTCCTATTCCAACTCCTACTCTTACTCCTACTCCTACTCCTACTCATGTACTATAAACTTCTTTAATTAAAGTAACGTCACCTGTAGTTTTGAAAGGGTAGAAAAGTTGGCTGAGGAAGCAGGAGAAATATCCATTCCGGCCCAGCTAGAATCTATAATATCAACTACATTATATCCCTGTCAAGCTAGAATCTATAATATCAACTACATTATATCCTTGCCCATCTAGAATCTATAATATCAACTACATTATATCCCTGTCAAGCTAGAATCTATAATATCAACTACATAATATCCCTGCTCAGCTAGAATCTATAATATCAACTAGCTACATTATATCCCTGCCCAGCTAGAATCTATAATATCAACTAAATTATATCCCTGTCCAGCTAAAATCTATAATATCAACTACATTATATCCCTGTCCAGCTAGAATCTATAATATCAACTACATTATATCCCTGTCCAGCTAGAATCTATAATATCAACTACATTATATCCCTGCTCAGCTAGAATCTATAATATCAACTACATTATATCCCTGTCCAGCTAGAATCTATAATATGAACTACATTATATCCCTGTCCAGCTAGAATCTATAATATCAACTACATTATATCCCTGTCCAGCTAGAATCTATAATATGAACTACATTATATCCCTGTCCAGCTAGAATCTATATTATCAACTGCATTATATTCCTGCTCAGCTAGAATCTATGATATCAACTACATTATATCCCTGCTCAGTTAGAATCTATGATATCAACTACATTATATCCCTGCTCATCTAAAATTTATAATATCATCTTTATTATATCCCTGTCCAGTTAGAATCTATAATATTAACTACATTATATCCCGACCCATCTAAAATCTATAATTTCAACTACATTATATCCCTGCTCAGCTAGAATCTATGATATTAACTTTATTATATCCCTGCTCAGCTAAAATCTATAATATCAACTACATTATATCCCGGCCCAGCTAGAGTCTATAATATCAACTACATTATATCCCGACCCATCTAAAATCTATAACATCAACTACATTATATCCCGGCCCAGCTAGAATCTATAATATCAACTACATTATATCCCTGCTCAGCTAGAGTCTTTAATATCAACTACATTATATCCCTGCCCAGCTAGAATCTATAATATCAACTAAATTATATCCCTGCTCAGCTAAAATCTATAATGTCAACTAAATTATATCACTTTCCAGCAAGAATCTTTAATATCAACTACATTATATCCCGACCCATCTAAAATCTATAATATCAATTACATTATCTAAATTTATCTTTTGCTTGTCTGTCCGCTTGTATCCAATAAACGTCAAAACGGCTGAACCGATCGGGGCCATATATTGTGTGGGACCTCGCATGACCCCAGGAAAGGTTTATTGATGCTCAAAATAACAAAAATGTGTGTCCAAAGGTATTTGGTAAAATTTTGAAAATGTGCGGTAAAATATTGTTAAATCCACGAACTTTTATAGTTTTTGTTTTATATGGTATAAAATATAGGCCAAAAAGTCGACAAAAAGACAATTTCTGTCTCTAAACAGTACTACGAACCAAAATAGTAACTTTATGAATAAAAAAAACTTACCTTTTCTACACTATATAATCATAGTTTAATAATAGATTTGATTAAGAAATAAAAGTAGAAAATAAACTTACTTAAACTGTCCCCCTCTATTTCCCTGCCGAACACATCATGTTTGGTTCCAGGGGAGGAGGAGAAGGAGTTGTAGGAGTGTCCAGTGCTACTTTTACTCCGTTTATGAATATCTACCCCGCCCAGTCCACCCCCACCAACTTCTTTATGGTCTCGCTCTCCAACTCTTTCCTTTTTACTCTCTTTTCTAAAAGTGGAATATAGCTTTGAACTTCTTTAAGTTTTTTTAGAGAAAAGAACTGTAAGCGTAATTCCAAGTATTATGACGATTTCCAATTGAGAACGGTTTCTCAAAAGCTTTGTCAGATCAAGCATGAATTAATTAGATATCAATGTTTATAATTTTGAAAATTAATTACTTATTCATTGAAGTTTCTCTGGAAAAGTGACTTTAACAATTCTAATGCAGGAAAACATGTAGGAATTATCAGGATTGGAACACTTTTAAAGGTATAAAAACGAGAATAGAAACGAGGCATTGTCGTCTTTGCATGATGGGTAACATGAAATTAGGCCTACAGTTCCTTTATAAATTAAAGAATTGAATTTTAAACAACAATTTATAGATTTCTGAGTTGTTCTTCTATTTCTGTTGAGCTAATTAATGCAATTGCAGAACTGCAAAATAAATTTGTATACGGTAATTTTGAATTTTATCCTACAAAATCATGTTATTTTCACTATATTACATCCTGTTTTTGATCTGAAATGTTTAAAACCTATCCGGGGGGGGGGAGCCCCCACCCTTCAACCACGTGTAAAAATCTTTGAATTATCTCTTCCCCAAAAAGGAACTGAGTTTATGCCACAAACTTAAATATTCTAATCCCTATACCTTTGTAACTTGATGGTGAACAAAACTTCAACTTAAAATTTCAAACTTGAACTATTTGATCTAACTGAATTAAAAGGTCTACGGTGTTATGTTGCAAAGATGTAGAGGATTGAAAAATTAGAATTTGTGGCAAAAACTCAATCCCTTTGTATAAATAGATTTTATTACTTACTATCTTGCTTTTTCTCTTTTCCAGTCTGCTCCTTGTTCACTAATATTTCATCAAGATCAAATTCAAACCCTAAAATTAAATCAGTTTTGGTTTAAACCAAACAGACAGGGTGAATATAAAAAATGTAATTATGATTTTTAAACCCCTAAAGTCCTAAGAAAACACTAAAAAAGATAACCCAGTATACAATTTTTTATTCTATAAGGGAAATAATTTTTTCAATTTTTTAAGTTTTTGTAAAAAAAAGTTAATTTGATCATGTATGAACTTCTATAAAATAGATTAAAACTCTTCTGAAAACACTTTATTTAACAGTTCTTTAAACCAGTTTTCATGCCAAATTTTAGTTTTTTTTTACCCTTTTTGAATGAACTTTGGAGTGCACCGAATGATTTTTCTTTTGCTTCTCTTGAAGATGTCTCCTCTTTCCCTCCTCTTCCCTCATTTTTTCCTCCGTGGATCCCTGTTTTATCCCGCAACAGACCCATTTACAACATTGTAGTTTCTGCAATATATTGCTAGATTAATAGGACTCTCCTATTCTAGATTGGTATGTCGGATCCACAACGGTATTCTAGATTGGTTTGTCGGATCCACAACGGTAACCCCCCCCTCCTGCCAAGCCAATAACAATTCCTGTTTTCCTGTTCTTTATCTCCGAAACTGAAGCACTACTCCAGTTTAGTCTAGTATAAGCCACAGACTAGATATTAGAGACTATAGAGACTATAGAGATACTAGAGAGACTAGAGAGATTTACAGAAATCAGAACTTAAAGACTATAAAGATTTTAAAGAATATAAAGACTATAAAGATTATAAAGAATATAAAGACCAGAAAGTGGTGAAACATGACTCTTGTTTATTGGATATTTCTCGTCATAGAAGCATATCATGCTGTAAGTTAACTTAAAGAGTTGGTTCATAAAATGTTAAAATGTGAATCGATGATTAAAGAGTTCAATCATAGATTTACAGCATTTACCTTTAAGATTTTATATCATACTTAATAAAAACAAAGATTTAGGGCTTAAAACTAAAAAAATTTGGCTATTTTCTAATCCTCGATGCATGAAAAGGTTTAAAGGGAATCTTTGTAAGTATCTATATGTTGCTCTCCAAATTTGAAAGTTGGAAAGCCCCCCCCCCCCAAATATTTTCCAAGAGGGTAGGCATTTCCGCCCCTTCTCTTCAGATTCTTTGCCCCTTGTTTGATGTATGCATTAGACCGGATTGCCGAGCCTTTCATTTATTATCTATGGCAAATTCAACCTTAAAAACTTACAAAAATTGTGAGGTTTAAACTAAAAAACTTACAAAAATTGGGAAGTTTAACCTAAAAAATTGAATTTTTTTATGACAGGGTTTAAAATATAGAATAGGATTTTATTATATTATTTTAAACTGTAAAAGCTGCAGACTGTTAAAGTTGAAGTTGAAATGCAATTCTGTTTATTTAACTTTTAATTTGACTCATAAAGCATGCAATGCAACAAACAGTAAATTAAAAATATGAATAAGAAAAGTTTTAAATTATTTTATTTTGAACAAAACTTTTTTGTAAAACTATTAACTTTTTTATGCCAGTTTCTGACATATTCATGATTGCTCAAAGTTTAGCATAGAAAAAAAAGACGAAAATTGAGTAAAAATTTGAATTAAATGTCACATTTGGAACAAAATACTTATAAATATATAAATCCGATGTCGTAGACCTTGGATATTTCAAACTGTGAATTCTGTTAAATCATCAAAAAGTCTAAGCTTGAAATATCAAAAGGTTTACACGATTATGTTGCAAAAACTCAGTTCCTTTGGTTATTATTTGCATATCATAAAGGAATGATATAAAGAGTAGATTTTTTAGCGCAAAATTTATGGATTTCTGCGGCCAGACTTGTAAAGATTAAATTGATCATAAAGGAATTTAACAATGAGTAACATTCGGAAAAAACTTGAATTCAAATAATCAAGACGTTTTCCCTACTTTTTAAATTAGAATAGGAAACTACGATTGCTACACTCGAATAATTATTTAAAATAGTAACCGCCATTGTACAGTGTACAGTGTAAAGTGTACACTGTACACTGTAAAAACTACACAACCCCATTTTTCTATAAATTAATGCTCAAACTTCTGATAAAACTATTTTTTTACAACAACATTAAATACCCCTAAGATTGTTTTAATGTTTTTGTATTCCACAGTTTTATAGCTATCAATGTATTTAGTTGGCCCACTGTGTTGTTCTGTTTTATAGCTATCAATGTATTTTTAGTTGGCCCACTGTGTTGTTCTGTTTTATAGATATCAATGTTTTTAGTTGGCCCACTGTGTTGTTCTGTTTTATAAATATCAATGTATTTAATTGGCCCACTGTGTTGTTCTGTTTTATAGCTATCAATGTATTTAGTTGGCCCAATGTGTTGTAATGTTTTATAGCTATCAATGTATTTAGTTGGCCCAATGTGTTGTTCTGTTTTATAGATATCAATGTATTTAGTTGGCCCACTGTGTTGTTCTGTTTTATAGCTATCAATGTATTTAGTTGGCCCACTGTGTTGTTCTGTTTTATAGATATCAATGTATTTAGTTGGCCCACTGTGTTGTTCTGTTTTATAGATATCAATGTATTTTTTTGGCCCACTGTGTTGTTCTGTTTTATAGATATCAATGTATTTTTAGTTGGCCCACTGTGTTGTTCTGTTTTATAGATATCAATGTATTTTTAGTTGGCCCACTGTGCTGTTCTGTTTTATAGATATCAATGTATTTAGTTGGCCCACTGTGTTGTTCTGTTTGGATTAAAACTCCTCCCAAGAAAGGATCTTGTCTCTGTTAGGAAGAAACCCTAATCATTTATTTTTAAAGAAAATTCATATTTTTCAATCTTAAAAACATAATTTTCTATTTTTGGTCCTTTATGATATTCTAACATTTAAACAGTTGTCAAAAAAAGCATTTTTTTACTGATAAGTCTTAAAAAAGAGTCGAAATGTTTTTATTTTGTTCTTTTTTCATTGTTTTTATCTTTGTCGTAAAATATAAAATCTTGTGCTTTTCATCAACTTTAAAAATATTTTTTTTTATTTCAAAAGTATCTAAATTTGGTTTCCTAGATATTACTTTCTAATAGACGCTGCTTGTGCTGCAGTTGCCTACAGGGAAAAACATTCATTTTCGCTTTTTTATTTTAAAAGTAAATTATTTTTTGAACCCGTATGCAAAAAGAAAGTACATGTAATTTGAATGAAAATATCTTTGATTATTTTTTATACAAAATTCGGACGATGAGATGACAATTGTTATCCGTCCCACTGCTATCGTTGACTACAGTTTGTTTACAAGCAAGCCTCTCTCAATGCTTACCCTATTTAAGAATAAAGACACTCCGGGCTCCACTGAAAAGTAGCATGTCTGATTTACAATGGTGCCCTCTTTCGAGCGTTGTCTGGTAATCGTTGACGGATAAATAATAAAACTATAGTGCCTGGAAACTCTAGTGTACGGCATTGAAATCGCCAAGAAAAATCCGTAAATCAAATAAAAGTTATTAAAAAATTAATTTTCTGATTTCTGGTTTAAAGAGTACCATTGTGATTTGGACATGTCAATATAAAAATATAAGGTGCTTAAAAATTACGTCTGCAGTTAAGTTTGCCAAATTCGGGGAATGTGTCCCTTTAAATATACTTAAAGTGTCGAATGAATGATTTGTTGAATAGCCTGCATAGAAATGAATATATGCTTCCCTTCCTTATTGTTCAACAATGGCAGCATATTTTTTATTTCAGGTGAACACAAATGTTTAACAATTAGACCTACAAAGTACAACCAGCATTCTACACAGGAAAAATTTTTAAAATTGAAAGGATTTAATTTATTAACTGTTTGGTAATCAATCAATATCAATTTTGTACATAGATCACATATGTAACACATGTTTATAATTGGTAATGTGAGCGTAGCGCTCGGCCCCCTAGCCTGTCGTAGCCGCAGCGCTCGGCCAAGAAATTGTTTTAACCAACCCTAACCCTAAAATAATTAAAAATGAATAATATTAATTTTGCTGAAAATTAGTGGTCATGTACAAAATTGATAGGGGGGGGGGCGGCGGGGAGTTTGTCAAAAAATCGTATTGTAGGACGGACCTAACTGTTTTGTAAAATACGTATAAACATGCGTGGTTATAAAAACCAACCATTTTTCATCATTTCTTATTTGATCTGAACGCCAGCTATCCAATCATTGAGTTTGTTGATATCATTAAATCATGGGAATTTGTGTTTGCATCTCTAAATTTACTACTTTCGGTACTTCTGTAATTTCTAACTGATATCATTGTGGAAATATTACGAATCAATTTTTTTTTATTTCTCTGAAAAATTAATTGCCTCTCCTATAAGAAGTGTAGCTTTTCCTACAGTGGTAGGCGATTATATTAATACAATGAAGACGACTTTTTAATTCAAGTTTTGATTGTTAACAAGCTTTTCTTTAATTTACAAGCTTACAGGTAACCAACGAGAAGTATTTTAATTGACAGCTTCTCTTTATGTGTATTGTGAACCATCCAATATCCATGCTGTTTGATAGCTTGATAAAAACTAAAATTGAAATCGAATATTGTCTTTTTAGTATTCATATAATCGCCGACCACTGTATGTGTGTTTATCTTATTCTCTCCATGGTATGACCCTATATTATTTAGTACCTGGGATGTAAGCCGAGCAGCTAAACGTGTCATCTCCTGGTCTAGTTTAGACTGGGATAGGGGAAGATGGAATCAACTAGGCAATGAGGGACATTTACAAGAAATATATGGAATCATCTTAAACTGACATTTACAAGAAATATATAGAATCATCTTAAACTCCACAACGGTATTCTAGATTGGTATGTCGGATCCACAACGGTATTCTAGATTGGTATGTCTGAACTGTACCTTTAAAAGCTTTGTCGAATAAAAATGAGGAAGATATCAACAATTTCTTCTTTGAAAGTTGATTTTTTTAAACGGTTCAAGTGAATAGCGCATTTTTGGTTCAGTAATAATATGGAAAATTGTTAAAATAACACTCTTTTCAAGGTTGAAAACGATACCTTCCACATTATTGATCATATAGAGGGTACTGTTATGAATATGTAAATATTTATTCAAAAAAAAAACATTTTGTGAATATGCATATTTTTTAAGATCATTGATCATGATCGATAAAGAACAAACCTGATATTTTTTCAGGTTTTAATCAAGCTTGTAACCTTTTATAGAAATTAATTTTTCAGGTATATCAGATGCAATGTATACAGTACAAACTGTACACTCAGAAAATGCATAATTCAAGAGATTAAAGTTCAAAGACCCCCCCACTGTATTCTGAACTTTATCTTAACCTTGAAAGATGTATTCTACTGCCCTGTAGTCTGAACTTTATCTTAAAGTTTGAAAGATATATTCTACTGCTCTGTAATCTGAACTTTATCTAAAGCTTGAAAGATGTATTCTACTGCTCTGTAATCTGAACTTTATCTAAACCTTGAAAGATATATTCTAAACTTTATCTTAAAGTTTGAAAGATGTATTTTCTGCCCTGTAATTTGAACTTTATCTTGACGTATACAAAACCGATTTATCTCTCTGAACAAAGTACAAATGAAATGAATCACGTTTTCAGATAAGTAAATGATCCAATTTAAAAACAACAAAAAAGGTCAGAAAGGGTAGTTTGAAGTTTGAATTTATACGAGAGGGTAAAATTTGTTTTGAGATCTTGCTATTTTATATTTCTTTCTGCAACATCTGCATCTAGGGTTTCCAGCGAAATGAGGAAATCGTTTTTTTGCCGAAAATTTCCCATTTTTTCGCTTTCCGGTGGAAGAAAAAGAAATGCAAAATTTTTGCTTTTTTGCGTTAATCTCTTTCAAGAAAAAAATGCAAAATTTTTGAGAATTTTTTTTGCGAAATTTGTTGGGTTTTCCCCCGGAAATTTCGTACTTTTTGTCTTGTGATAAATCTCGCATTTTTTGTGAAAAAGATTAATGTGAAATTTCGCAAAAAAATTATGGCATAATATTGTTTAAAAAACAAAATACTGCATGTTTTTTCCTTACTTTTGCAAAATTTATTTTTGCAAAAAAAATTGCGAAATACTAAAAAAATTTCGCATTTTTTCGCTGGAAACCTTTGTTTCTTAACATAAATGTCTCGAATATTAAGATCTTGTATTTGGAACTGCGTTCGATATGTCAATTCACATTGCCAACGCGTAAGTACATCGAATTTGCTAATTCCATAAAATTGTGGAATATAGTTTTACCAGTAGCTTGACAATTAAGTTATTATAAAACATTGCTTTGTGTTTACTGTACACTGCAAAACATTTCTGGATTTTTTAAAATCATAACTAGCTTTAGTCTAATATTAGTCTTCATATTCCAAACTTTTTAATATAGTCTATTTTATTGCTTGTTTGTGCTGTAGAAATCCAGTGGTAAATTTCCAAATATGTCGCGGCTTGCAGTAAAAAAAAAAAATAATTGTTAAAAAAACTAAGATATTAATGCCATCGTATTTCAGATAAAGTTTTCTTTGTTAATTGCTCATTTGTACAATTTCTTATCTTTACTTCAATCGACATTAGAAAATAAAAAGTTAAATTTTCTGATGCAAGTTAAATACATTTTTTCCACGGTTTAAAGTTCAGAGTACAGATTTTTTTATGCAAATATATGCACTATTGCAGCATGAATAATGTAACAGTTTAATTATGTACAGGGTGTCCCGTAAACATAAGAATTTAAATGACGACATTTTTTCCAAAAATACCAAAGAAATCCATATTTCCAAAATGTGGTTACATTAAAAATTGACGGAGATGATAAAGAATTTATCCAAATTTCAATTTACTTAGAAATATGAAAATTGTCTAACTTGTATATTTTTTCCGTTAACCGTATCCCGATTAGGCTACTTTTGTCTAATATAGATGGGGGGGGGGGTTGTTTTCCACCCCACCCTTCTTATGAATTTGCCCTTACCGTTGATATAGGAAAGAGTGATACATGTCCCTAGTCCAGCTTTTCAAGGCCTGCTCATTAGAAAAATGAGACCTCTAATTTTAATGGTCATAGGGTGCAAAGTACGACACAGAAAATTTTTCTAAATTAATTATTTTTACTTTCGACAAATATTAACATGTGACACATCTTATAGTATTCATTTTTCAAGGGCTTTCTAAATAGATAAATTACTAGCCCTGTAGCCTAATTATCAAAAACGTTATTAACCATGTCTGTTTTTTGTAACACTGGGCCGCCACTCAGACTCTACCCTATGCATAAAAAAATCTCTGCATGTTTGAAAGCTTGGTAGAACTCAAAATTAAAATATTAAGTCTTCTTCACTGTATTAATATATACGTCGACCACTGTACCTTAGTGTAAAGTTTTCATGTATTTTTAGAGTTTTCATCGGAATGACTCTCAGCAGAACTGGAATTGTATTGGCTGTATCTGTAGTCGGTATACTCTACGCTCTTGTAATTGAAAACCCGAAGGTAAACACAAGAAAGATTTTTTAAGAGACTGTTGCTTAATTTCAAGTGACCTTCCATTTAAAAAGAGGGGCATGTCCGATTCGCAACTGTACCTTTTATCTGATTAATATTGCGGAAGATTTTTTCGCCATTTTTCTTGCTTAAAAAGTGTTCAATCCTGACGTGTCCTCTAGAAACGACCCTTTCAAGAGAAAACACAACAGATATTATCAATTTACAAAGAAGATAATGAATATCTCATTCATTCTTGATCCGACAGAACTTTTTACCATAGGAAACAAAAACGCCACTCTATAAATGGAGAGTCCCTTGAAATTACGTCCATTTAATAGGAAAAGGTAAGACTATATAGATTTTTGAAAACGTTATAATTTTTTGGGGCGGTAACATGTATCGCTTCAAAAATTGGGCTTTTGTGAAAAAGTATAAAAAACGATATTTTCTCGTCAAAGGAACTCACCAAGTGTTAAATGGCCAATACACCTCAAACCTTTATCTTAGGAACAATGAGTACGATATTGTCGTTTATCAAAAAAAATTATATATTTTCCGTTATTTGCATAATTCCGCAGGTCTATTTCTATAGAGAACCTACACTCTATAGCCTAAAATCATCAATTTTTAGCTAGAAATATAAGGATCTCCAAAGTTTAATGTTTATTTGGGCTCGTTACTCTCTTTAAAAGTATGTTTTTTTCTTCATAATTCATATAAAAATAGATATAGCTGTTGTGACATATTTAGCCAATAATTTATTACCCTTTATGGAGAGAACTCATTAAATTGAAAGAAAACAAGGTATGAGGTGTATTCTGAACTTTATCTAAGCTTTGGCCCACTGTGCTGTTCTGTTTTATAGATATCAATGTATTTAGTTGGCCCACTGTGTTGTTCTGTTTGGATTAAAACTCCTCCCAAGAAAGGAATTTTCCACACGTTTGTCAGTGTTAATTAAAACACATTAATTAACCATATAGATTGATAATCCAGGGAAATGGGCCCGGGTACAATGCATGGTTACTGTGTTACATGTTAATTTGACTATTCAATATTATAACTTAAGAGTCTAAAAGTCGTCATCGTCGTCCACAGTTTAATTGTTTTTTTATCTTTTATTTCATAATTATAATTTTTCCAATAATTTCTATGTTTGTGTGTTTAAAAAGTTTCTAATTATTTTTTATTTATTACTTCACAGTACGTTTACCAAAACATTTGCATAGTAACCTCCTGCCTACGCAATATTCAATGACGCACTATCTTCATCCAGTATTATCCAAATAAATTGTCAAGTACTTGATAATCTATTTAGTATTATCTATCTTTAGACATTATATGAAAAATACATAATGAATATTTTATCAATATAATTACTGTTCCTAAGCAGGAAAGAAAAATTAACGAAGCATAAAAAAAAATATTTTTCAGGAATTCTCCTTGAACACTTAAATAGTTTAACTTTATTGAACTTTAAGAATGAACCCATTATTTTTTGTTTTAATTATTAAAAAATTTCAATTTTTCGCAATCAATGCTTTTCCGAAAAATTCCTGTTGTAATGAAGAAAAAGTTGAGGGGGGGGGGAAATTTTTCTATAATTTTAAAACGAAAATAAAAAAACACTAAAAATTTCTAAAGGAGCTCCCTGCTATGAAATTTAAGTAATATATTTTCGTAATAATATTTGAATTGACCAGATTTAAATTAGTTGTGAGTTTAAAACTTTCTTTAAAAAAAAAAGTTTAAAAGTTTCTTTGGCTCTTTGTGTAACATAGAGCCGTGTAAATAAGGCACAGCACAGCACTGATAGGGGGAACAATAACATGACACTTTACAGTTTGCCTGGTCGAGTAAAAACCATATGCCGGACTGGGTTGCGAGAAGAGTTAAACCCCTTTCTCCTGACCAGGTAAACTCCTACCCTGGGACGAGGTAAACTCCTACCCTAGGACCAGGTAAACTCCTACCCTAGGACCAGGTAATCTCCTACCTTAGAACCAAGTAAACTCCTACCCTAGAGCCAAGAAAAAGAAAACATTACGAAATTTATTTTCTTTGTTTTATGTATTCACAGTTTTAACAGCTCTTTGTTTAGGTTCAGGAAATTGCTGTGTTTGAAAAGCTCAATGGTTCCACAAAAAAATTGTAATTGTGTAAAAAGGAAAAATAAATCCTGAAATATTTGCCATTTAATTTTTTCCTTGTTTTAAGTGAGCCTCCATTGCTAGAGTGGTATAATGTCTGATTGCCATTGCTAGAGTCGTAAAAGGTCTGATTGCCATTGCTAGAGTGGTAAAATGTCTGATTTTCATTGCTAGAGTGGTATAATGTCTGATTGCCATTGCTAGAGTCGTAAAATGTCTGATTGCCATTGCTAGAGTGGTAAAATGTCTGATTTTCATTGCTAGAGTGGTATAATGTCTGATTGCCATTGCTAGAGTGATATAATGTCTGATTTTCATTGCTAAGTGGTATAATGTCTGATTTCCGTTGCTAGAGTGGTAAAATGTCTGATTGCCATTGCTAGAGGGGTATAATGTCTGATTTTCATTGCTAGAGTGGTATAATGTCTGATTTCCATTGCTAGAGTGGTATAATGTCTGATTTCCATTGCTGAGTGGTATAATTTCTGATTTCAATTGCTAGAGTGATATAATGTCTGATTTCCATTGCTAGAGAGGCATATATTTAAATTTACTAATCTTAGATTTTCTGCCTTAAACATAATAGTTTAATACTAGTCTACTCAGTCCACAGACACACGGTCAGTTTTACAAATCAAGAAACTTATTGTATTTCTAAATATAGAATCATTTAGGCATGCTTTAGTTTATTCCAAATTAAATAAAATTCAATATGAATTTTCATTTAATATTACAAAATAAACATCTGACAAGAAATAAAGAAAAATGGAATTATACTGTTAAGCGTACTAAAAAATGTAAATATGCTAAAAAGGTGTATAATGTTGGTAATTAATGATCAAAGTTTGATCCGTGATTAACGACTTCAAATTGTTCATCACATTATTGATTTTCAATTGCCAATTATTTGCAAAAATAAGTTTGCATCGACAATAGTTTGGGTTTTCACAGTTGAATTAATGATATACGAATTTTCCTTATTTACAGGGCTCGGAGTTTAGTTTATGGGCAAGAGGGTGCCCTATGTAATGTGGGAATAAAAGAATAAATTGTCTTTGATTTCCGAAAATGTCACCAAATATGTGAAATCTACAGAAAAGGTCGAGAATTTCAACTAGTCGAGATTTAAACAATTTTGGTTGAACAAATAGTTTTTTTTAATGTTTCCATTGTTTTAACAGATTTGCAGTTTCCAACAAAGATCGGCGTGTATGTCAATTCAGCTAGTGGAGACGATATTCCCGTCCTTCTGGAGTCGAGCAGTTTTTAAACCGAAAACAAATTTTTGAAAATGACCAGGAATAACCCGACTCATAAAAGGTGAATTGCTTATACATCTATATTCTATACCTTGTGTAAAATAGTTTTTGTTCTCCAGATAGAAAAAGCATAATAATTAAATCAAATTTACCCAGCATAGAAGACCCAAGAAAATGGCCAGACTTAGGGACACAATATGACGTCGAGCTACTAGTTAAATTATCGGTATCAGTATGAGCCTATCCTGTTGCGTAAAAAAACTAACGCGTAGGAAAAGATTGAAAATGCTACTATTAGGCCTAACCTCTTATGAGATGATACAACCGCAAAAAAAACATTCAAGTTTTAAAACAATCGATCATACATTTATTGAGTTTGAAATCTGATTTGACCTAATTTAACCTTTTATTAATATTAAGTTAAATATTTAATAACCTAAATCGCGAACATAGGGATTAGTAAAGCTTGTTTTAACCACTCAAGTTGCTTCTAGTGATATAAAAACAAATATTTTAAACTGAACCAGCTACTGCTGGCTTGTGTTTAGTGTTGTACAGTTCAAGGTAGACTAGGGATATCCTAGTTAGTACTTGATAATCTATTTAGTATTATCTAAATCTATAACCCGACTCACCTTTAACTTAAGAACTCCACCAAACCTTAAAATCTATAACCCGACTCACCTTTAACTTAAGAACTCCACCAAACCTTTAAATCTATAACCTGACTCACCTTTAACTTAAGAACTCCACCAAACCTTTAAATCTATAACCCGACTCACCTTTAACTTAAGAACTCCACCAAACCTTTAAATCTATAATCAGACTCACTTTTAACTTAAGAACTCCACCAAACCTTTAAATCTATAACACGACTCACTTTTAACTTAAGAACTCCACCAAACCTTTAAATCTATAACCCGACTCGCTTTTAATTCAAGAACTCCACCAAACCTTTAAATCTATTACCCGACTCACTTTCAACATAAGAACTCCACCAAACCTTTAAATCTATAACCCGACTCACTTTTAACTTGAGAACTCCGTCAAACATTTAAATCTTCCAAGATTTAATTTTTCTCACTGTCGCTTTTTAAATAACACTGTAACGTCTAGTGTAGACTTGAAAAAATATGCACAATATACACGCAAATACTAGTTAAAATATGCACAATATACACGCAAATACTAGTTAAAATATGCACAATATACACGCAAATACTAGTTAAAATATGCACAAAATACACGCAAACACTAGTTAAAATATGCACAATATACACGCAAATACTAAAAGTAAAAAAGTGGAGCATGAGAGAAAAGAAAAAAGTATTTTTATTGATCTAAATGTTTATTAACAGCAGAGTTTCCAACAAAACAACTAAAATGCGATGAAAATTCTGATTCAAAGTTTTGTCAAAATTAGACTATACTTGATAATTAAAAAAATATTATTTATATTAAATTCATTTTCAATTTTGTGATTTAAGGTCATGCAGATTTTTTCAACAATAAAATTCTTTCTTATTGGCACAATTTTAAAACTCAATGGATAATTTGAAGCAAGAACATTTACTCAAATATTACTGACTCCATATACATGTTAAGGTCTCCAGAAATAGTTTAAGCTCTTGGGTTCAGAATTACATATTGTAATGAGCGCGAAGTCCAGCAAGAAGCCCGTCGCAGGATTTTTTGGCATCTCCTAGAATGACAATAGGTTTGAAATTAGCTTTATCGAATCAAAGATCTAAACTTTAGTTTAGTGTGGGTATTATCTTTGTAAGCTTTATATTGATATCCAATGTAAATCAATGCTGGTTCACAAATACAAAAATGCATTACACAAAAGTTCTAATCAAATAAAGGATTGAAATTCATTAATGATAAATTTACTAACCTAGAAGCATAGCATTATTCTCGTTAAAGAAGATTGGGTTGTCAACAGCAGCATATCCAACTCCAAGAGAACGCTTCATTACAACACTCTGGGCTGACTTCCACACTCTAAAACAATTGAGTTTTCAAAAGATGTGCAAATACATTAGAATTAGTTTTTTTTATCAGGTTCAGTGTAAAACTTATTTGCAGAAAAATAAGATAAGGAATATATTTTTTTTAATATAATTAAGTAACTTACTTGAGAACTGGCATGCCGGCAATAATAGAGTTGGGATCATCCTCAGCAGCAGAATTAACGGTATCATTGGCTCCAATTACAAGAACAAGATCGGTGGATGGGAAATCATCATTAATCTCATCCATCTCCATAACTGAACATCAATTAGTTTATGCGTTAAAAATAAACTTATTAATTGAAATGAGCTGAAAACTTTAGAAATTTGGAATTCGAGATCAATGCTTGATCTAGGAGTGTCTAAAATGCAACCAATTAAAGTGTTGATTGCAATTTTTTAATTTAGCGGCGAAATCAATGAGAGCTCTCATTGGTCGGAATTCAGCAGGGATATCCATTAAGCAGAAAAGTGTAGACAGTGGATACCGAGATTTGGGAATCGGAATTTAGGGTGTCCAATACTAAAGTTTTTAGCGTTGGTCTGGGTAAATTGCTTAATTGCTGTGTTTTCTGTTAGTTGGTCTGTTAAAAAAAATCATTACTTAATTCTTAGTCATATTTTTATCCCTGTTTAATGAGTCTTATTGTTTATTTACCGATATCGTATGGAACACCAGCCTCAGCCAATAGTACATTAAGTTGTCCTGGCATACGTCCAGCTACAGGGTGGATTCCAAACCTTACATTCTTTCCTTTCTTCCTAAACAATATTAATACATTCAAAACGTTATTTTCAGAACAGGAATCACTGGTATCTAGAAAACTCTGAAAGTTAGTTATCACATTTTTAAACAGTCTCTGCTTTGAAGTGTCACAACGCCTTGGCCATTGGTTTCATTACACCAACTCGCTTGTACGTTTCTGTAGCCCCAGACATATACATTTTAAAATTGCAAAGAACTTGTTTCTGGCTAATGTTAAGAGGACAAATCGACAAATTACTTCTCAATTTTGCTTAAGAGCTTAACTATCTTGGTTTGCAGTGGAATATTGAAGATTGAAACTTACTTGAGAATAGTGCAAAGTTCAGCAACAGGGTACTGTCCCTTAGCAACGGCGAGTCCATAACCAGGAACAATAATAATGCTCTTAGCATCAACCATGGCCTAAATGAAAGTAATTTATGATTCAAATTCAATGGCATTGTTTTTCTTTAAATAAACAAACTAAATTACGAACATATTTACCTGAACAGTTTGGTCAATATTCCATTCAGTTACTGTTCCTGTTATTTCCATAGGTTTTCCTCCAGCAGTGCTACTGGTTCCAAAACCTCCCAAAATCACATTAGGGAGGGATCTAGGAAAAATTTATCATTAAAAATCTCGTTCTATTCCATCTTGTGAAAGTTAACTCAAAGATCTTCAGCAAATCAAATCATAAACGTTAACAGGTTCATGGCTCTTTAAGCTGACAAGACTGGGAAAAATGCGAGCCCTTCAAATCAAATCAAATCATAAGTTGCAGGGATTGCCTAAGACTCCAGTAGCGGATTGGAGTTTCAAGTCCTCCCCATTCCCTTTTTTTAGCCCGGCCTTCTGTTTATTTTATAAATATACTTTTAATGATACTTTTTATTTACTTTGTAATTGCGAAGCGCCCAGCCACACGACCAAATTTGAGCCATGCCCCACTTTAGAATACTTAACATCCAAGGATTGCTACACAGTTTATTAAGTTATTTTACCTGTTCATAGCAACACACATGATGTATGAAAGAATAGCTCCTGAGGCTCCAATGAGAGATCCAACAACTGTCATCAAGTTATTGTTTAGCATAAAACCTTCAGCGCACAGTGCCCAGCCAGAGTAGGAGTTCAGCACAGTAATAACAACTAAAATATCAATATTTTTTAACTTCTAACAATACAGCTTTACACTGCATCAATATTAAAAAACGACCTGTAAAGTTATGAAATTTTAGATAAATGTTAATATATTATTAACCTGGCATGTCAGCTCCTCCAATAGCCATTGTCAGGGTAACTCCCATAACTCCAGATAGTGCAGCGGTAGTTCCAAGCATTCCCATTCCTACAATATGTACATAAAATAGAATGTACTAAGATATTAAATTTATCTTTAAGTCAATCACTAATCACAGAAAGAAAAAATACAAAAAATTGTAGAATAATGTAGTTTTGTTCAATTGCTAACTTAAAATTGCAAATTAAACAACTTTACCTACGGACATGGAAGGGTCAGCAAGGTAGTATCCCATAGCTCCAACATTAGCAAGAAGAAGACCGGCATTCAATGCATGCCTGCCTGGCAGCATCAGTGGATTGGAGCTCAGTAGCCCCTGCAGCTTACCGTAGGCAATCAAAGAACCTAAAAGAAAAGGTTAAAATAATAATAATATTGAATAATACAAAATAATGTGTTTTTTTACCTGTAAATGTGACGCCTCCAATATATGTTCCGAGGAACAACGCAGTCTTGATCATGGTAGCTGCTGGATCAGTTTCAAAGGTGGGATAATGGTCAATATAGGTTGAGAAGCAGGTAAGCACAGCTGCCATACCAACCTAGTTTAATAACAGAAGTTTGTTAACCATGTGAATAGTAACGAATAAACAATTTAAGAATGGATAAACTAATCTTACCAATGAGTGGAAAGCAGCAACAAGCTGAGGTAGATCTGTGATCTCAATACGCTTAGCAATCACGGTTCCAAGACCTCCTCCAGCTATGGCAACTCCAATCATTTGAGTCAGCACCTATAACAATAATTTGGTATCAACCATCAAAATTAGATTGAACACTTCAAACAATGTATTTTGATGTATCATGTAACTGTACTAGCCCTGTCCTGACCATACCGGAAATGTTATTTTCATATGATGACTGAATATTCTGTGTGTGTGTGTACCTCCTGAGAAGGCTGGACTAGTCCAAGAGTTGCTGCAATACCACTCGACACGCCGATTATTCCAAGCATGTTTCCAAGTCTAGCAGTAGGCTGAGCACTTAATCCAGCTTAAAATAAGATGAATAAAAAATACGAAAATGTGAAAGAATCACAATTATGAGACTTCATTGATAAAAAATTATTAAAAAACATTTATGTATACCAAGCGCTCCAATACAGCAGAGGGATGAGGCAAGATACGCCATCTTGTGAACTTCAGGGTAACCCTGAAAAATATGGTATTTTATTTCATTTTATTTAGCAAAAACTAATTTTAATATTGAGTTATTGAACCTGTGTAACAGCCCATCCGTAAGAGGCTAGGAAAGTGGAGATAGGGATTCCCATAAGATACTTATACTCTGGAGGGTCAGTTGGTCTCTTGAACATGTCAAGCATTCTTAAATAACATATAATAATCATATCATCATTAAAACTGTAGTTTCATATTAAAATTGGATCTTATATGTATGACATGTATGTATTATATTCATATATATAAAGTTGTAATGTTTGTGTTTGTTAGTCCAATCAAAATTCTGAACCCCTTGACCGATTTGCCTCAAATTTTTATTTGGAAACTCGGAAGAACCACGTAAATGTTCTTGGTTTGATTTTGTGATTCTAAGTTGAGTGGGTCTACTTTAATAGGAACAGTTAAATTTCCCGGTAAAATCCACCAATTGCGGGTAATCAGTGGGAGTAACAATGAATACCCTGGGCAACGCTGGGTTCCCAAGCTAGTATTGTATAAACCTACCTAGCAGTGACAATGAATCCTCCGAATACGTTAATAAATGAGATAAATGCAGCTCCAGCAGCTAACCCTTCGCAAGCATTAGTTGGGTAATATCCCCCTCCCATACACAGCAGACCTCCAACTGCAGTTATACCTGGAACAAATATTCATTTCAAGTCTAAAACTTATCTATGTATGTACAAAATTGTAATCTCTGTTTGTCTATCTGTCTGTTTATTTGTCCGATCAAAACACAGGAACCCCTGGACCATATTGCCTCAAATTTTCATTGGGCTTTGTGATTCTAAGTTGAGTGGGTCGACTGTAATAGCAAAAATTTAGTTTCCCGGTAAAATCGTTCAAGTGCGGGTGAACGGGGGGAGAAACTGTTTGTAACATGGGCAGCGTTGGGTTTCCACGCTGGTATACCGTAAATCTAGATAAATTGGATGAATTATTAATTTATACCTGATATAGCATTGGTTACAGACATAAGAGGCGAGTGTAGAGCTGGCACTACACTCCAAACTGTGTGATATCCAACAATGCAACCCAGTCCGAATGTAGTGGACATGTTGGTGAAAGCTCCGTTAGGGGATCCAACTCCCAGTGCATTGATAGCACCCAGACCTGCGCTATACTTAACTGCCTGAGTTAGCTGAATATTGAAGTGGTTTGGTGGTGGTGGTGGCTCTAAAAATAAAGATCAATTTAAATATTATAAATTAAATTTGCGAGTTTTTTCTTCGTTTGACAAAAGAAATTAAAAGGTAAAAAATAACTCTCACAAAAATTTAAATTGAAATTTCCTTTGGCAGCTGCAGCGGCCTTGGGCGATACTGCGGCAGCAACAGAAATGGGAGGATTTGGAGGCCAGGTCTTTGCACCCTTATTGAGGACAATAGATCCTCTAACAACATCATCAGTCATATCAAGGTAAAAGTGATCCTTGGTTCCCTGAGAAAGTAAAATAGAATGATTGTTTAAAGTTTGTAAATGTATTCATTTCGATTAAATTAATTTCTATTTAATTAGCCAGGGATTGTCTAAAAGCTCTTTGATCTAGCTGATGGGGTATGCCATCACAATCCCTTCCAGGTCAAGACTTTGTAGCTTGACATAGTGTACAACTATGGATAAATAAACAAGTTAATGTTTACCTGCATAGACAGCATCAGTTTAGAGATATTGTTGGCGTAGAGAGTAGAAGCTTGTGTAGGAAGACGTGAAGGAAGATCAGTAAATCCAATATGAGTTACATTGTTGTAGGTGTAAACCTAGTAAAGTATAACGGTATACTTCAATGTAAAAAGGATTACAAAGTAAAAAAAATAACAGTACAATATTGAATACAAGATCAAAGGCAAGATAAAGGAGGCAAATACAAGAATTATAAATGTAATTTAAAAGTAAACCTCTCCAGGCTTGATTGTCTCAATGTTTCCTCCAGCTTCAGCTGCTAAATCTACAACAACACTACCAGGCTTCATGCTGTCAATCATATATTTCTTGATGAGGATAGGAGCAGTACGCCCAGGGATGAGGGCAGTAGTAATAACAATATCTACATCCTAAAAAGAAATAATTGATAGATAGTTTTCTAGTCAAATATCGAACCGCATTTATAAAAAAAACTGTACGCTAATTGTTCACTTACTTTGCATTGATCGTGGAAAAGTTTCATCTCTGCCTCAATAAACTCCTTGGACATCTCTTTAGCATATCCTCCTACAGTAGATCCATCCTCCTGGATATCTACCTAATAAACATTTCATATAAATAAAAAGTAAATCATCCATAGTCGAAACTGAACCCATTAAATCTTATTAACCTCTAAGAACTCTGCTCCCATACTCTCAACCTGCTCTTTTACTGCTGGTCTTACATCAAAAGCTCTGCAAATACAGACAGTTAAAAAGTAATCTCTAATAATTTAAATGTTTAATGAAAAACCTGATAATAAAAATAGGGTAAGGTTCTTGGATTTTCAGATTTAGGAAATATAGATAATATAGTTTGCTACCTGACAATAGCTCCCATATTCTTAGCCTGACCAACAGCAGCTAGACCAGCTACTCCTCCACCAATAACAAGAACCTTTGCAGGTGGAACTTTTCCTAAACATTGGTTTTGTGTGAAATACAGTGAAACCAGGACAGTAGAAAGACGACTAAAAATTCGTCTTTGATCTTGAAATTCATTTTTAACATTTAGTCGTGAACCTACATCAATGTCATTCTTGAAACAATAACTACAAAATATGAAAGACGACTAAAAATTCGTCTTTGATCTTGAAATTCATTTTTAACATTTAGTCGTGAACCTACATCAATGTCATTCTTGAAACAATAACTACAAAATATGATTCATGAACAATAACTACAAAATATGATTGATGAAACAATAACTACAAAATATGATTCATGAACAATAACTACAAAATATGATTGATGAAACAATAACTACAAAATATGATTGGTGAAACAATAACTACAAAATAAAATTCATGAACAATAACTACAAAATATGATTGATGAAACAATAACTACAAAATAAAATTCATGAACAATAACTACAAAATATGATTCATGAAACAATAACTACAAAATTCTCCTAGGCCAGGCATTTCCAAAATGTAGTCTGCCTTTTATTGAGCTATCAATTTTACCCGGGATATTGAGAATTTCGGTTAGTTTTTTAAATGGTTAAATAAATCCGAAATTGTCGAAATCTGAATGAAATTCTTGGACACAATCTATGAAATTGATAAAGATATGTAAATAAAACTGAAGAGGCAAGATTTGTCAAAATTGTAAGTCTCACGATAGTGTACACTGTACAGTTCTCTGGTGAGAAAATGAACTGACCTGCAGCTGTAATTTGTCCAGTGAAGAACCTGCCAAAGTGTTGACTCGCCTCAACTACAGCTCTGTATCCGCTAATGTTTGCCATGGAGGAAAGGGCATCAAACACCTTTATATATATATATATAGAGCCATACTGATGAGTCCTAATAGGACGAAACACTGTGTCTATGTGTATATATATATATAATTAATAATAAAATGTTGAGAATAAGGATTTAAATTGATTATAAATACCAACCTGAGCTCTGGAGATCCTTGGAACACAATCCATACCAAAAGCAGTTATTTTCCTTTTAGCCAGAGCATCAATAAGATCTTGGTTCTGAGCAGGATACAGGAAGGAGTACAGGGTTCCTTCGTCCCTGAATAAAATCACCATAATTTCTTTGTCGGTAAAGAGTTCAATAATCACTGCTCAAATATTTAGGAATTAACGAACCTGAAAAGGCCAGTTTCAGCAAGGGAGGGTTGTCTCAGCTTCAAAACGATATCCTTGAAAAAAGATTTATTTGAAATAGTTTGTGATAAATAAATAAAAAATTATATATTAATATTTGTTTCAACAACATTGATTTACCGATTTAAAAGCAGTGTTCTTGTCAACTATTTTAGCTCCGCTGGCTGCAAAGTCATCATCTCTGAACTGAGAAAGAGCTCCCGCACCAGACTCAACATGTACAGTGAATCCCTTAATAGAATAAAAAGTTAATTACTGTAATGTTTAGATATATAATTCTAAAATTACCTTCTTGACCAGCATAGCAGTAGCAGCTGGAGTGATGGCAACCCTCTTCTCATTGGTCCAGATCTCTTTAGGAACTCCGATATTCAGCTTGTTGTAAGGAATACCTTTAATCTCCTGAACCACACCCAAAACCATATTAAAAAACATTCATTCGGTGAAGTTTCATTGAAAAGCAGATTAATAAGAATAATTGTTTCTTGTCAATTCAAAATAAGTTTGTAAAAAAAATATAAAATATGTATAAAGTATGTAAGGTGGATCCCTGAGGCGCGGCATCCTTGAATCTTCGGGCTGAGGTTCTCAGTCCCCTGCAGTAGTAGGATTATTAAAAAAAGCCTTTTACTTAGAAAATGATGCAATTTCCATACTGTCATTTCTATAGAAATTTAATAAAATATATAAAGCTAAAAACGCAAAAAGAAAAATGGAGTTAACAACTATCTAGTGGATGATATAAGCTCCAAACTTGCAAAAAAATCTGAAGTTGATAGCAACTTCAGTGAAAGCCATAAAACTGTGGAATAGGAAGACGATAAAGGTTTCTTATTTTTTTATCTTGTTTTAGTTTTTGCTTAGTGAAGTATGACAATAATATGATTACAGTATGAAATTTACTTCTATACTTCATCAGGAGACCAGAGAATAATCTAAACAATCATAAACAGACTGACCTGCATGTATTGTTTGCTGGCTGCAGTGTAGAGAGTGGTACACGAAGAAGCCCGGCCATGGCAATAAATTTGACCGAAGTGACTTTGTGTTTACCTAAAAAAATTGAAATTATGCTTTATTTAAATAAATGTCACGTAACATCAAAGAAAACAGTTTCGAATTATGTAATCTCGATTTCACCTATTCTTATAATAATATAACCTGTTCTTAAAGAATCAGACTGGACAGGCCAAGCCTTGTACTCTGAAAATATAAGACATTAATAATCCCACCTAAAAATGTTTTCAGGTGCCCCTGTCAAATGCGCAGTAGCTGACGCTGCCAAGTGAATAGGTTGGTCGGGCCGGGCCTAGATACTGAAGTGTTAGGTTCTACATTCACGTCAGCGAAAGCTAGACTTATCCTTATTGGGTAGTAACAGGCCGAGCCTCTGCTTTCTAGGGTCAAAGAATACACTTGCAGTTGTTCCTATATATACTAGTAAACAGACCCTATACTTTATGTCTATATAGTCTATAGTAAGGTCAAGCCATACATAATTGTAGACAAAATCGAATTTATCTATACATTACATTTTTTAAAACCATCCCAGGAAAAACGTAAGTAAAAAATCATAGCCATAACACCCGCCCCCCTTCCCTCCCCTTTAAAGCTTACATACTTTAGTGATGGAAGAGATTTAGTTTTGGCAACAATTTTGCTGACGCTTAAAGCATGCAATAGGTCTTTCACTTCTCACTGGATCATTTTCAAACAAACTTTGAACAAAGATCTGAAAATATTCTGTTAAAATGCATTGAATTGCAGGATTTTACGTTCTATACAAGATTTAAGTTTTATATTAAACAAAGAAAAATTTTGAGATTTAAAATATTGGAAACAACAGCATTTTGGCAACGTACATTTAGGAAAATTAATTTAATTCATTTAGTTGAAAGAGAAAATAAAAAAATATCTAATAAATATATGCACGATCGTTGGGTCATGCAACTTTGAGGGTTCTATTCTCTTCAACCATAAGAAAGACTTTAATAGCTGTCCATAAGCTTATTGAATATCTTCGATGGTCTCATTGCTTTCTCAGCCTTAACATTTCAAATTTATTCATCTTTTATAATTGTGAACTGAGAAATTTTCAAATTCAAAACGTATTAATAAAAAATAATTAAAATTGACTGAATAAATTTTTAAATTTCCTTGGCTTCGTCAAGTTTAAAGTATCCTCCGACATCACAAGGAGGTCCCTGACAGTCAATAAGATCCTTCATGATCTGAGCCTCATTATCGGCAAGTGCCTAGAAATATAGATATTTGAAAAATACATTACAGGGGACATTAGTTCCAACGCAAACACTAGGCCCACAGAGTGTTAGAAATGGGCACAAATTGAAAGACTGGGGTTTTAGGATCCCGGTCCATATCGAGTGTAAAAGTCGATATTAAAAACTGTAACCAACGTCTAACTTGACGAGGACAACAATCTCAATTTAAAAATATTTTCTGAAGTCAAAATTATTACAGAAGTTCTTTTTTTATTAAAACCCCTGACCGGTTTTAAGAAAATGTGAGGTTTTCTATTTTCGAACAAATCCTGAATTTGAATCAATTTCGCGTTTTAGAGACACACCACACTCTCCCGTTTCTGACTATAATCCGCAATTCAGAACAAAAATCACTTTCATAACTTACAAAAAAAATCACTTAAATTAAATATTATCTTATGAAGACTAAACAACTGCTGAGATATTTCTAAAAACAAAGTTTCTACATTTGATTGGTCAAATACAAGGGACATTAGTTCCAAAACTATCACTTGGCCCATTTTTTATACTGAGTGTTAGATATGGGCACAAATTGAAAGACTGGATTTTTAGAATCCCAGTCCATATCGAGAGTAAAAGTCGAAAATAAAAACTATAACCAATATCTTATTATAATTTTAACTATTTTCTTAAATCAAAATTACAAATGGAGTTCTTTTTATATTTAAACCTTTGACTGTTTTCAAGACAATGTTAGGATTTAAATTTCAGAACTTATCCTGAATTTGAATCATTGCAGCGTTTTGGAGACAAAACCCTATTTTTGATTATGATCCACTTTTAAGAACAATGCTCACGTTTGCATTACTTACAAAATCAGTCAGTGAAAGTAAGAATTATCATATGAAGACAAAATTAACTTCGAAAATCTTAGTTTCCACATTTATTTGTTAAATGAGAGTGTAAAGTTGATTTAATTTCCCGCATTTATTAAAAACAATTTCCCGTATAACTAGTAAAATCTTTATTCGAGAACAAAATAATGTTAATAACTAGGCCATCTTCTATTACAACTTTTAATTGTGGCTATATCTATGAGCATCTTCTCTTTGTACAGTATAAAACAAAGACAAAAAAAGTTTGCGGATTTCATAATATTTTTTCGCGCATTTTCAAAATTTTGATTATTCATAAAACTTCCCTAAGTAGTCACTTGAGGTTCAACACCAAATTTGGGTCCGATCGGTTCAGCCGTTTTGACCTTTATGGGATACAAACAAACAAACTAAATTTATATATAAATTTGATTTCTCACTGCTGTAAAGATTTAAAATTATAAAATAACTGTTTTTATTTTTCTATTTTGTTTATATTTTATCTTATCAAGAAATTTTGTTTTGTTACGTAAGTGGGTAAATGCTTTAACGTTGTAACGTTGACATTGATCTCAAAACCAAGATATGTTACAAAAACATTCGGTAATTGTTTAGAATTAGGGATGTATTCGAAAATGAAATAAAGTATAGGCAAAAATTAAATCTCACACCTTATTATTAGTTCAAAGTTGACATTTTTTGTTTCAATATATAGTTTTAGCCATTTTTTATAAATGTATGTTGTAGTTTTGTTCAACTCGGCTTGGAGTTAAAGATTTAATTTCCCTATTTTCAATAAACAATTTCCCGCATTACTTGTTAAATCTAGTTTGTAAAAACAAACTAATATTAATATTTTAATTTCTCAATGCTGTAAAAATTATAATTTAAATTATAAAAGAACAGTATGTTATTTTTTTCCTATTTTGTTTCTATTTTAACTTTTAAAAAAATCTTGTTTTGTTACGTAAGTGCGTACATGCTATGCTTGAAAATTGACATTGATATGAATTCGAGTAATTATCTGAAAACCAGGATATGTTCCGAAAACGCGACACGAGCTGAAATCCGGTAATTGTTTAAAATAGGGATATGTTCGAAAATGAAATCAAGAATCGTCAAAAACTGATTCTCACACCTTATATTAGTTTAAAGATGGCTTGTTTCAATATATAGTTTTATTTGTCATTTTCTATAAATGTACAGGGTTACCTACAAAGAATGAGACTTCAGAGACGATTGAATGGAATTTGTAAAGTTCATTTTCTAGCATTCAGGGTTCCTTTTCGGCTAAACTGTATTATATCTGTGCTTCATCATTCCATAATTCATTAAAATACAAAATTTAATGCAGAAACCAAAAATCACGCATCAAATAGTCTTATTTTTAGAGTTTTGGGTCGTCTTTACAGTCTCATCCTTCGTGGGTAACCCTGTATGGTGTAGTTTTGCTCAACTCAGATTGGATTTAAAGATATAAACGCATGGAAAAGATAACTTTGCAGACTTAGCCCATTCACTCAGTGTTAGAATTAGGCCACGTGTTAGTTTTGAAACTAATTTCCCCTTCTTTAGGTCTAAAAATATGAAAATAACATAGCTGTCCATTCAAATCGCGGGAATTGCACCAACACGTTCTACATCAACAGTCAGAGAATTACTATCCTTATAAATCTAATTTAAACAATAATGCAGGCATGTCTGATACTCTCAATGCTAAAACCCAGAAAAAAAGTACATAACAAGCAAACCTTAGCAAGAGGTTCCCATGAAGCATCCTTAGCTGCAAGTTCCTGGGCCCAGTATAAAGCTACGTAGAAATTGGAACCTCTGAACAAGATTTGAACTATGAAACACATTTACTACTAAATACTTTAATAAAATGTTTTACCTATTGTCGATCTGCTTTCCTTTTCTGCCGGGGGACTTGTTGTTTTCCAACCATTTTCCAACAGCATTCATAAGAGTGTCTCCAAGCAGAGTTGACTAACGAATATAAATTTAAATTTCAATATTTTAAATCGAATAAGCGTCGTTAATTCGGACAGTTCTTTAATTTTCCTAAATGTACGTTGCCATAACTTCAAATTCAATGCAAATTAACCAAATATAAAAGGCATAGATCTCCAATAACCGTAAGTGTGGAAGAACTGAATGAATTGTCAAGAATTTAAAAGATTGCGGAATTTTTACGAATTTTTCGCGGATTTTCACTTTTCAATACTTCAGTATTTAATGGAGAAAAATAAGCTTCATCACTGTAAAATTATTTCTAGCACTGTTTCCATAAATTTTGAAATCTAAAAAATACTAATTCTCATAAATATCTAAACGTAGAAATTAATGTTACCTTGGGGTTATTTGTTCTCTCTCCAAGCTCCTGAAATATTTCATGAAATCAAATACAACAGATATTAATATACTCAACACGACGAATTTGAAAAATAAAAAAACAGTTAAAAGCAGAAAAAGCTGCGCTCAACCCTACCTGAAATCCGATAGCAGTGGCAAGATACTCTCCAAGAGAATCCCATCTAAGATGACCCTCTTTCAAGAACTTAAATTAGATAAATTTATTATGACAATCTAATATGATCATTGATCACATTCAGAAATGGATTTTTTTACAGTAAATTATGTCAAAACCATGGGCAGCATTAGGGTGGAAGGTTGAAAATGATCAACAAGATTTGGAGGATAATAAAAAATATTAATTTTGAGTGAAAAAGTGGTACCGCAGGAATTTTCAAAAAATCTAATTATAATCAAAATTAAAGGGCTAGAAGGTGCCTGCTCTCTCTTCTTGCGCTCCTAAATTCTCCAGGGGGGGGGGGACGTCCCCTCAATTTTCCAGGAAGTGGGAACGTTCCGCAAATTTTTCAGGGGGAACCTTAATTTGTTAATTTTACACCTGTTGGAATCATAATTTTGAAAAACTGTATAACAAGCTATAGGGAAAAAAAAAGAAAATTGGGATACGTTGAACACAGAGCCAAGCATGCAAAAATTGTAAATTTAAGTTTTTTTTCTACTTCAATCTCTTAAATTACTGCTTTCACATTTGAACAAATTTTCGAAAAGATTGGTTCAGCCCTGGCCTTTTACGCCAATCCTTTAAACCCTTATAAACTAAATTTTGCCTCCCCCCCCCCCCAGAAAAGTGCTTAGGTGCGCCCCCAGATCTAATTTTTGGAGGGGATGGAGCAGTCAATTCCCCTCAACCCATTCTCCCTGAGTAAAATAAGGGGTTTGGGTTGGGGCACAGTAGGTTGTATTATTCTGCACTAAATTTTAGAAAGACGGTACATGAAAGGAGTATTTAAAATATAGAGCAGGCACCTTAAAGGGGTTGGGGGAAACAGGGAAATCCCACTGAACAAAATAGCAAAAAAGATGAAATCATAATGTGATATATTTATTTCAAGAAATCCATTAAAACACCAAACCACCGGCCCGCTTGTCATTGACCCCGTAGAAGTGTGAGTTAACAGACTTTACAATTCTGGGTGATTTTGCGTAGATAAGCTATCATGCTTATTTAATTAGCCCCCTCCCCCCACCCTCCACCCGTTAAATATTGAAAAACCTGTAACCGCGGTCCATAAATTGTCCATAGAATTTTCTGCTCCTTTTTAAAGAAGAACACCTACCTGTTCTACATGTACAGGTGCTGATCCTTCTACTCTTGTTTCTAGGAGAACACCTACCTGTTCTACATGTTAAGGTGCTGATCATACTTACCTGCTCTACGTGTTTAGGAGATGATCCTCCTGCTCCTATTTTAAGGGGACACCTACCTTTTCTACATGTTTAGGTGCTGATCCTTCTCCTCCAGTTTTAAGGTTAACACCTACTTGTTCTACATGTTTAGGGGCTGATCCTTCTCCTCCAGTTTTAAGGTTAATACCTACTTGTTCTACATGTTTAGGGGCTGATCCTTCTGCTACTGTTTCAGGGAGAACACCTACCTGTTCTACATGTTTAGGGCTGATCCTTCTCCTCCAGTTTTAAGGTTAATACCTACTTGTTCTACATGTTTAGGGGCTGATCCTTTTGCTACTGTTTCAGGGAGAACACCTACCTGCTCTACATGTTTAGGCGCTGATCCTCCTGCTCCTGTCTCGAGGAGAACACCTCCTGCCAACAGAGGAACAATAGACAGCATCTAACCGGGACACGTCCAATTATTAATATAAAATAGCGAATTTTAACAACGGATGTAACAAACTTTCTGAAACCAAATCCATTATTTTAATCTTTAATATTTCACAGAAATTAACATCCGCTTTATTAGAAAATAGGTTTGAATAAATATAAAATGTTTAAATACCCACCCGCCACTCTCCCATGAGTAAAAATGGGTTAGGTTTTAAGATAGCTGATAGGAAGTCAATGAAATTGCCGATTCTAAAAATAGGGGGGGGGGGGGGAACAGACGAAATTGCTAAGATTTTAACCAAAAATAATAAATGTTATGATGCCCAAGTTCCTTAGCAGATGTTCCAAGCTCAAGAATTGGGAACAGATCGGTCAGGTAATCTCTCAAAACGTTCCCGGTCACAGTGATTGTGTCATGACCGGCGCGTGCGCGTAAACAAGCATCCTTCATTGCCTCGACAGGTGTGGCGAAGCTAATATCTAGTCCTACAAATCCAAACCTCAATGGCTATGAAGACATAACATTGAAAGATGGAATTAGCTAGAAGGCCATAAAACTGCAGAATAGGAAGACGACTGTTACTGTCATATGATTATAGATAGTCAAATAACATAAAAAACATCAATTGTGCAGTGTGCAATAATTTAATAATTTAAAAGCTGATACACTTACAACACTATTTGCAAAACATAAGATAAAAATGCAGTAATGCCGTACTCTTAGTCCTCAGTTTTATGATTCCTACTTTGAAAATGTTCATCTTGATCGGGAACTCGATGGGTTGACAAATAAAACTGAAAATCTCGGAATGCTGGTAAAACCCCAGTTTAAACCAGTTATAATCACTAAGAGCTTTGCCTAATATTATTAAAACTAAAATACATACCAACATTCATTAGAATAACTATTAAATACTAAAATACTAATATTTGTCAAGGTTTAAAGATTCCTGTAGTATCGTGTTCAGCAAGGTACTTTTTACAGAGAGCTATCAGGTTTGCATCGTGAGCCCTGCATGACAAAATTTAATATCAAAATGTCTTAACTAAAAATCGTCAACTGTTTTAACACAAAATACCAATTAACTTCAGAAAAAACCTTCACTTTTATTGTGTTTTCTTATTAAAAGATGGATGAGGACTAAGGGGCAGCGAAGGTTGTTTTTCTAACCTGGCAGGGTCTAGCCAAAATACAGCTTTAGATCCACTTGCTCTTGCTCTATTAACAGCCAACTTGACCCAGTCCTAGTATAATAAACACATTCAACAAAAATTTACAATACATTTTTCATTCAATATTAAGGTAATTGTCAAATTAGACATGACTTGTAGCTTTAAAAGTGCCATGAACGAAGAAATGTCTGGGAAAATAAGGTGGATATCTTTAATTTTCAGTATGAATTTTTCACGACTTTATTTTAGAGATTAGATTGGTAAATAATTTGAGAACAATCTCCATATAATTAAATTATTCCTGTACAAATTTGTAAAACACTAGCCATTTCTAAAACAATTAACCTTTAGCAGGTTCTCCGATCTCAAGAAAAAACTAATTTGACATTTATTTTACAGACTTCTCAAAAATTTGAATGTCAGAAAACCTTTCCTGATGAGATGCAATTTAAAGAATTTGAGCCGCGGTTTAGATCTGCCAAAACCCGGTTTAAATTAAGCGCCGGCTTAAATTTAAACCGCCGCTCAAATTCTTTAAATTCGGTCACTGGAGTCATACGAGTTGTCACAAAAAAGGTGGGACTGGATAGGTTCAGCCGTTGACGTTTAACAGAAACAGACAGATAAGTACAATTATAGAAACCTTGATTGGAGCATCCTTGGTCTGGCACATTCTCCAGATATCTCCAGCTTCAACTGAGTGTGAGAATATTGTGTTACCAGCATCATCGGTCACAACAACTGTTCCCTAAATTTAAATTTCGTTCAATTCTTATTAAATGGATCCTAAGCACTAATTCGCATGTGCTGAATGAAAACAAACAAACCTTGGTTGGGATCTCGAAGGTCTTGTCATGAGAACCGTATTCTTCAGCTTTCTGTGCCATCAAACCAACATTAGATACGTGACCAGTGGTTTTCCAGTCAAACTGCCCGTTCCTTCTAAATGCAATAGACAACTATCATGTACCCGTTGTTTACAGTCGAGACTATCGATTAAAAAATAAAATTAAATTCGTTGTTTTTAAATCTTCAAAAAATGTGACCGTTTTTATTCTGTGAATTGTCTATTATTTTTAAATCTACAAGTATTAAAAATATGCCCAGATGTTTAAAAAAGTGTCTAATATAACAATTGTTTTCTTTTATCAATCATAAAAAAATCAAAATGACTAAAGTTTACATAAATTGTCACTTTGTGACCACGTAATTCCTAGCGAGGGGTAAATTCTCTTACAGCAGCTATATGTTATTTCTTTTTAGTTTAAATATTAGTTTTAAGCTGATAAAGCTTTTAATCTAACCTGCAGTCGTCGATAATAGCTCCGTACATTGTAGCGTAACATCTAAAAAAGAATTATATTTATAAAAAGGCTTAAAATTTATTATCAAATTATTTAGAAGTCGATTATTCTTAAATTTAGGATTGGGCTTTTTTGGATTTTTTTGTATAAATTTTTCCCAAGGCGTTTTCCATAAAACAATCTATAACCTATCAGTAATCAGTATACACTACACAATCCTTTTATAAAATAATTTAGAATAAAGAATCATTCATTTGCATCTTAAATCTCACCTATCTGGGATAATGCATTTCACTTCCTCCAGTTTGTCATCCTGACACACAAACAGAAATAAATAACTTTTCACAATTTCAGAACATTTGGTGAATATCAAATTTAAAACAAATTTTTAAAATGAAATTCCAAAAATTTTCGTTCAAACGTATTTCAAATATTTCATCTATGACTTTGTTCTTGTTATATATTAAATCCCTTAAATAAATTCCTTTGATACTAATAATATTATGATCATTATTATTATTTCCTTGTTCCACATTTGTCCTCCGTCTCTGACCACATTTGGCATACTGGCATCAATGATGACGTCACTGGGTACATGCAGGTTTGTAATCCCCTACAACAATACTAAATTAATACTCAGCATATAACAAGCCTTTGGGGAAGATCTAAAACTCTTTAAAATACAAAAATCTTAACGTTTAATTTCATATAACTCTAGACGTTCAATTTCATGTAATTCTCCCATTTATATTAGATTTATAACGTTGCCATTTAAATCTTCATCGATATTCTTATCGTCCGCACGGGAGAACATGAAACTCTCCCTCATCAATGATCCCACGAAGGTTACCGCTATGAATAGGACATGCCACTTCAGAAATTAAAGGTCACTTGAATTTATGTAAACATTCCATTTTACAATCATATTCTGTAATGGTGTACTAATAGAAACCTAAGAAAAGAAAGAAACAAATTAAAATATTAGTCATAATTTTTTTTATAGCTGTACTAACATTTCTATGGATTCATGAGTTTTCTAATGCTTATTTCGGACACACCCTGCGGTATACATGAATGTATACTGCATGTATACAGGATTACCCAAAAAGGATGAGACTTCACAGACGACTTTAGTGAATGTATACTATCTGTATTTTGTATTCATGAGTCCCTGCAACTGTAAACTGTTTTTCTTTTCGTTGCCAAATCATTTAATAAGCCATTGAATTACTACATTTCAGGCAGAAGACATAATTTGAACTTGGAGTCGTCATATTTTAAGAATTTTTTATCGTCTTTGCAGTCTCATCCTATGTGGGTAACCCTGTATACACGAGTTAACTTAGAGGTCAATCTGAGTATTTGCGTCACGACTGGGCTAAATGGGCAAGTCTTACTATCAGCTGTATGTTTGCGTCAGCAGACCAACTGGACAGGTCAGACTAGCAGCTACAGATTTAACTGCTACTAGGCAAATATTTAAACAGATATACAGGAAGGAGGGGAGTTTACTTCGCGTTGATCATTTTCTATTAAAACAAGACAAATCCCGAAATAAGAAGTAGCGTCGTTAAACTGACATTAAAATCGCATAACAGTTATAAACTTACAGCAAAAGAAATTGTTAAAAACGTTTATTTACCGCATTCGAATCGACCATGGCGAGCTTGGGTCTGGTGTTATATGTAGCCATGAGGTCAGCCTCCACTTCAGCCTGCTTAGGATGTCCCTAAATATAAAATTAGAGGCTAATTATGCGATATGCACATTGTAGGAAACGATCGGCAATAACTTAGTTCTCTTCAATTCCACAAAAATCTTGGTTTATGTCTTTATTTTGATAGAATTCTGTGGTTCCTAGTAAAGATTTTAAAACATTTAAAACTTAAAGTTTTGAACCAAGTCACTGCCAAACCAAGGAAATTATTTTTGTATTCCAAAGGTGGATCACTAGGCTAGGACAATTATAACAGGATACAGGATTTAGTTGAAATGGTGACTAGCCGAAAAACATTTTGTAGCCAAAGTCGAGTTCATGGTCAAATTTAAAAATCCAAAAGCGCTTCGCAGAAATTTCAGGGCTAAAAATTAAAATAAAACAAATGTGGATAATGTTTTTTGGTTCTTGGAAAGAAAACCGTAATGGTTGCTTACCTTGATTTTAGAGTACACGTCACCTAGTCCATTGTTTACATTAACCTTAAGCTCAGCAAACAAATCAGCGTGTTTAGCAAACACATCCTGACAATTGGAATAAGTTTAGTTTTGGTTTCACATTTCAGTCTTAATATTTTACTCAAATTGGCAGATATTTCCACTTTTAAACCTGCTGAAACTAGTCACTTGTTAATACGCAGTTCAGAGAAAATGGGACAGAATTTTTTTTTGGATAAATCAAGAAAATCAAATTTCTACCCAATCCTCGGCCAAAAACTCTGGATACCTTGAAGTAAACTTTAACACAGTGACCGAAGATGATTGGATCTGAAACTTTCATCATGGTCGCCTGACAACATAAATTCAACAAAATATTCAATTTAAGAATAAAAACGTTTAAAATTCAAAAAGAATTCAAAAAAATTTTGCCTAGCAAACTAGATGCTAACACAAGCCTAATTTTTCATGAAAACTATTTTTTTTTTGAGAATTTTAAAATTATTTTAGTTGAAAAAAGTTGAACAAATTTCCTTCATGTGCAGAGACATCATCAGTCCTAGAAAAATAGTTAAATTATGAAACTACAAAACCAAAAGTGTCTAGTTCAAAACCCCCCCCCCCCAACAAAAAATAATTAAAAATCTGCTTATGATATGATTTACTATTTGATCCGTTATAAAATTATATTTAGAACTTGTTTAAAAGCCTGTAGTTTTGATTTGATATTTGTTTTAAATGTTTATATTATCGAAGCAACGCAAAAACTGTTCATAGTTAAAAGCGAATATTTTATGAAACACAACATTTTCAATTAAAAAATATTATTTCATTAAAAATAAAGCTCATGTATTTATTATGGCAATACTAAAAACCGCGCATAGAATCAGCTGAATTATACAAACTCATGTTTAATAACTCCCGTCAGCACCTTCCTAGCTGCATTATACAAACTCATGTTTTTTATTTCTTTTAACCTTTGTCGAAGCAGTCTTGGATTTCTTTTTCAAAGAACTCAGTAAGTTGGGCCACACTGATCCTATATTTATAAAACTTTAATATTAAATTTTAAAACAGGTTTTTATCGTATTAGTATTTGTTTATACTAGTCTTAAAAATGCCAAGTCGAAAAATCTCAGCTGAAATAATGTTTAAAAAAATCAATGATAAAAAGTCCAATAAATGACCTAATTGAACTATAATTGACGTGAGCTAAAAATGTACCTGGAAGCGTCAATGACCTCTCCCTCCTGCAGGGCCAGGGACTCCTTCAAGACCTTGGTTGTCCCGTCAGCACAGTGCATGGTTATTTTTACATTTCCAGCCTTAACAATTGATCTAACAGAATGTGCTTTAACTTTATCATGACATTAATGCAGGGCTTTATAGTCGAGGATTGTAATTGTACAATGTACATGTTCACCCATTACAAACTAAAAATATGACAAATAACATTATTTAGAACCTTGAAATCTTCCGAAAATAGTATTAGCCCATAAAATCTTCCGGACATAGTATCCAAGTCTATAGTATTCGCCGCAAATACTTTTCGAGTCCACAATAGTAGCAAATATTATCCAAGTCCACTCAAGTATCTGCCGGAAATGGTATCTTAAGTCCATAATATCTGCCGCAAATATTGTCAAAGTTCCTAATTCTGCGGAAAAAAAATATCTACGTCCAATTAATGTGCCACAACTTAGTCATACCATTTTATTCCGTCCCAAATTTTGGAGCCTTTATTAAATTTTTTTTTTAATGACAATTTTTATTTATACGTGCACCAACTGATGATGTATTGTAGGTAATACCTTAGACATGATATGAGATTTTTCAGATCCATAAAAGTCTCCGTCCGACATAGATGCTACACAGGTTCTCACATCGGTCTTCCAGGGTCGCATAGCAGGGGACCTGGAGGAGGGGAACAATATTGGGCTCATTAAATTAGAAACAAATAATTGTATGAAAGGAACTGTAAGTTTTAAGTGATCCTTTTTTTAAGAAGAGTAAGCAAAATTCACACCGGTGATATGTTCAATAATGTGGAAGATAATATGGCCATTTTTTCAAACTTAAAACTGTTCAATTCTGACAATTTCCTTCAGTGTTTTTCTATAGTCCCTTCTACAGAGAGCAATTTTAAAAGATAAATTTTAATGGAGACAACATGAATATCTCTTTTATGAATCAAAATAATTTAAATATATACGCTTTGATAATTTAGTGCGTTTTAGTCAATTCTTAAAAAATCATGTAAAAGCCTCAAATTATGTTTTCCTTTTTTCGATTCTCTTTGCATTTTCCTTGACTGGGGCGGCACAACGACGGTCGGAGTTTCCCTCTCTTAGTACAGGGTTAACAGCACTCCCTAGCACCTAGATTACAGGGTTAACAGCACTCCCTAGCACCTAGATATTACAGGGTTTACAGCACTCCCTAGTACCTAGATATTACAGGGTTAACAGTACTCCCTAGTACCTAGATATTACAGGGTTAACAGTACTCCCTAGCACCTAGATATTACAGGGTTAACAGTACTCCCTAGCACCTAGATATTACATGGTTAACAGTACTCCCTAGTACCTAGATATTACTGGGTTAAAAGTACTCCCTAGTACCTAGATATTACAGGGTTAACAGCACTCCATAGCACCTAGATATTACAGGGTTAACAGTACTCCCTAGCACCTAGATATTACTGGGTTAACAGTACTCCCTAGCACATAGCTAGTACCAAGATATTACAAGGTTAAAAGGCTAGTAGCACTTCTAACAACCAAAAAATTAATGGGTTAACTGACTTTGAAGCTAATTATTTCAGAAATTAAACCCCAATAACAATAAATATCTAAATTAAAAACTACCTTAGAGTAGGTCTTTTTGATCTTCTCTTCCTCTTCATTCTGTTAAAACCAACAAAAAAACTAAATTTAAATATTTTGGAACTAAGTGACCAAATTTAACAAAGGAATATAAAGAATTAGTTAGCCCTCTGCTCTTTAACTTAAACTGGCCAAAAGAAAAGTGGTTTAACTACGTCCAGGTAGTTCAACTACTTATCACTATTGGTTCCAAATTAAAAATTTTGAATTGTAAAAATATCCATGTTGATTCCTTGGGGTTAGCGGGGTAGTCAGGAACATTATATCCTTTAGCCTGTAACCAATTCGGTCAACTATTTAATTGATTTAACTTTACGATAAGATAAAGTGTTGGAAATAGTAAATTTGAAATTATTACAAGGAATGTAGCAAATTGTTTTCTAAATCTGCTCAGCCCGTCCTAGAGTTGTGTTTTTTTTCGCGTTTCTCTTTTACGTGAAAAAATCTATCTGTGGAAAGCCTGTCTGGCGGTTTAATTAAATTCTTCGGGCACAACCAACCCTTTCGAGGCATTTCTTGAAAACCTTAATTGGTTTCCCATTTTTTCCACGGATTAAATTTAACTTTGCACTATGTGTTCAAAGTAGCATTTCAAATTGTGTTCAAAATGGAAAATTTTGGACAAAGGCATTTTTTCTTTTCTTTTTTCTGCTTAAATCATTTCAGTTACCAGATGGAATTATTGTGGATTACAATTATCAATTATCATTTTAGAAGAATTGGCATTCTTAAAGAAACAGAACTGGCAGATCTGTTTGTGTAAATGAAATATGGTTTTCTAATCCATGCCTGGACGTCTAAATTTAAGGAAGTGAACTTTCACCAACATTTTTCAAATATTTTTCTTCTCAAAATCGGCTAATTTCGGCTAGGCCAAAACTTTTTATTTCAAAGTTATGTCCATATTTTGTTAATCAATTAGTCTCATGACGGCAGAAATGTGCCGATTTTTCCCGATTTTAAAAATTTTCGTCAAAAATACATTTTTTAATTCACCTTCATAATTTAATCACAACTTGCCCATATAGTACCATTAATGTTTTCAAACGCCTTATAGTTCTAACCAATCCTTAAGCTTTAAAAATCCAATAGCTTTAAAAAAAGTTATCAACCAGCTTGTAAGCTATAATAGAACCATCAAAATATCATTTTAAAAATAGGTCCAAAAAAAGGTTTTTTAATTACTAATCGGCAAAAAAAACTTGCTTTTGTAATGATTTAACTTCAAGAAGCTATAAATCATAAACCAATAAATACTTCTTAATAATTCCCCCCACAAATTTGCTTATATTCAATATTTTTTTTTGGGGGTGGAGACATGACATTTTAGAATTTTTCACATGCCTGGACAAATAGTGTTTTGGATATCGAGTTTAGCTGACGGAGCTGAGGTATCCAAGCATTTTTCAACCCAGTTTATTTGGAATGTGGTTGACCGTGTAATTGTTCCTGGAGTTCTGCAATGCAAGCAACAAGCTGGGGAACGGAGGCAGAGATATTCGGCAGCTTGATAATATTTCCTTCAGGGGTCTAAACAATATTTCCTTCAGAGGTCTAAACAATATTTCCTTCAGAGGTGAACAATATTTCCTTCAGGGGTCTAAACAATATTCCATTCAGTTCAGTGGTCTAAACAATATTCCCTTCAGAGGTCTAAACAATATTCCCTAAAGGGGTCTAAACAATATTCCCTAAAGGGGTCTAAACAATATTCCCTTCAGGGGTCTGAACAATATTCCCTTCAGTTCAGTGGTCTAAACAATATTTCCTTCAGAGGTCTAAACAATATTCCCTTCAGGGGTCTAAACAATATTTCCTTCAGAGGACTAAACAATATTTCCTTCAGAGGTGAACAATATTCCCTTCAGGGGTCTAAACAATATTCCATTCAGTTCAGTGGTCAAAACAATATTCCCTTCAGGGGTCTAAACAATATTCCCTTCAGAGGTGAACAATATTTCCTTCAGGGGTCTAAACAATATTCCATTCAGTTCAGTGGTCTAAACAATATTTCCTTCAGAGGTCTAAACAATATTTCCTTCAGAGGTGAACAATATTTCCTTCAGAGGTCTAAACAATATTCCATTCAGTTCAGTGGTCTTAACAATATTCCCTTCAGGGGTCTAAACAATATTCCCTTCAATGGTCTAAACAATATTCCTTTCTGGGATCTAACCAATATTTCCTTCAGAGGTCTAAACAATATTTCCTTCAGAGGTCTAGACAATATTTCCTTCAGAGGTCCAAAGTTCTAAACAATATTTCCTCCTTCTTCCTACCTTAGCAAGTTCTCCAAGAGCGGCAAGTTCATCAGGAATCCTTTGCTCAGGGGTTAATCTATAGTATACAATAGTAAGTAGGGTTGGACAATCACTTGTTTTTTTTTACTTTACAGTTTTTGAACTCTTCCAAAAAAAACTCAAAGGGTTCCTAAGTTTTAAAATTGTTTAATTTTCTTTCCTAACACTGCTATATTTTACTTTAGAGATAAAATACATGCAAAAACGAACAAGTTTTGAAATGTCGGAAGTTAAAAAAACAAAAAACAAAAACAAGTTCTTCCCCATCACTGTGAGTACATTAGTATAGTTTAATACAGCAAAAAATACAAAATATAAATCTGTAATTATAGATCAAAAACATTAACAGAGGCAACAAAAAAAATGGCCTAGGATAATAATACAAGATTAAGGAAAACAAAGTAAAACAGAAAGGTATAGAACAGAATAGAGTATAACACCCTTAGTTGGACCAAAAGTAGCTTTAGAACAGTGTCCGAATTTAATGAATTTGAGCCGCGTTTTAGATCCGCCCAAAACCAGTCTTAATTGAGCGCGGCTTAAATCTTGAAACATTGAATACAATTTTTAGTGGAAACAACCATATTTGAGCCGCGTCTCAAATTTAAGCTGCGGCTCAAATTATTCAATTTCGGCCTCTGGAAAAGAGGACAAAACAAAAAAGATCCTTGCACACCAGATCAGAAAAAAATGGGAGGCAAGAAAAAATGGAAGAAACAACTGGATGCCAGTGTAGCAGAAAAGAAAATAAAAAATAAAAAATGTAACAATCGAAAAAAAACCCGGAAAAATTATCAAAACATAAAAAAATGGAAAAATCCAAATTTCAACAGAGAAGAACAAATAATGGGTCCGTCCTAGTGAACGATTTTTGGCCCCCCCCCCAGCCCTCCTATCAATTTAAAATTATTTATTTATTTATTATTATTTAGGGTTAGGTTAGGACACTTTCTGGGCCGAGCGCTGCGGCTAGGACAGGCTAGGGGGCCGAGCGCTGCGGCCACGGGTTAGGTTAGTTAAGACACTTTCTGGGCCGAGCGCTGCGGCTAGGACAGGCTAGGGGACCGAACGCTGCGGCCACATGGTCAATTATATCCATGTCTAACATATAAGATCCATGTACAAAATTGATCGGAGGGGGGCCTGGGGGGGGGGGTCCAAAAATCGTTCTCTAGGAATATACCCAAATAATTAATGTGAATGGAAGAATCAAGATTTAACAGAAAAGGACAAATAATTAATGTAAATGGAAGAAACAAGATTTAACAGATATGAACAAATAATTAATGTAAATTTAATTAAATAATCAAAAACATAAAAAATTATAAAAAACAATTTTTAAAAATCTTTCTAACCTTTCCGGGAAATGAGCAATAAGTCGTCCTGCCACTGAGATATCTCTTTTCTCAACCTAAACAATTTACAAGAGTAATATTTTGTAAGAATTTAAAGAATTGATACTTTTAACGCAGAAATTTAATTTTCTTCCCTTAAACATCATTTACTTTTCCCAATTCAGCAAAAAAATAAATATATAACGCTCAGCAATAAAATATCTACTCTTAAAAAAAGGGGGGGGGGCATGATTTTTTTAATTACAAAATCTAATTTACACAAGTTCAAATAATACCATGATATGTGTGGACTGGAACCTTCAAAATTGAGTTTTTTTGGCAGTAGCAATTTATTCACTGTTTTTAAATACAAAAATGTTAACCTAATAATACAAGTCACAGGGTCTTCTTAGCTTAAATTTAA